TGCAGAATGCGAGAGCGGAAGTCGTGGTGGGTGGCACTGTTTGTGTCTCTGTGTGTGTGTGCACGCCATGTGACCCAAGAGAGGGTGCGGGTGGTTGGCACCACTGACTTTTGACTGATGGTGCTGGGTGTAGCCGTGGTAGTGCGGCTGCAACGTGCACATTCTGCGGGGACTTTACACGCAGATGGAACAAAGGGAAATGTACCCTTCGGTCACGTTAAATGTACTGTATCTAAACAATGAAACGTGGCCGGTTTATTTAGGGTTTGTCTAATACAGCAGCAACGTAGTGTGGTTTTGTGTGTGTGTGCAAGTGTTGTAAGTCACAATGCGGCTGTGGCCTTGATGATTTTACAGCTGAGAGGAAAAAAAATCAATAAATAGCACGTGGACATCTCCTGTTTGCTTGTTAAAACTCAAAATGATTTCCTGGCTCAAGCGAGCCGAGCCAGCGATGGAAATTCCGCACTTGTGGGTAGCCACCATTGTGACCTTCCCCACCCACTAAAGTGGTACTCGTTTTATCGACCCCGGGGGAGATGATGGGCTGGGTCCAAGGCCCAACCAGGATATGAACCCGCAACCAACCTTACCATCTCATGTCGTTCGCTCTGCCTCTTGAGCCCACCACCATTGTTAAAACTGGCGTTCAAATCCGTTACATCACACAATGACATTAACAACACACAATATACAATACCAAACTACTGTGTATACACAAACATAGTAACGATTCAGGTCTCGAATGTAAATGTACCCGTCTTTACACGTTACGATATGCCAATTAAGTGGCATGCAATTCTGCTTTTGCTCCACGCTAAAACAAGTGTACACCAAATGTTTAAAAAAATACAGTACTGTCCAAATACGTAATCGACGTCAAATTAACAAAACGTTACATACATCGGGGCCCAAACGTATCTAACACGTTACGGCAAATCGGCTGTGAAAACAAAACAAAAAACAACACTGTCCCGTAATTGACGTACGTACAGTTGACCGAGCCCGTGGGGGAAGGAAGGCTTCATTGAAGCGTTGCTGGGTTGTTGTTAATTTTTGTTGGTTCGAGGTGGTTGGTTACAAATTGCTGGGTGGAAATTGGGTACGATTTACGTAAATTGTTCAATGGACGTGGGCCAGCTTCGGCGGCAAATTAATTCCACCGTGGGGTTGCTCGTCTGCTTAACGCAGCCCAAAGAACAGCCATTGCGGGCCTGTGTCTAAGCAGAAAGACACAATGCGCCACTTGCTCTCAGCTCTCTTTTTTTTATAAACCAAACCTCCACTCCCCCCCAGCATTCCATACAGATGAGCTCATTTTGCAACCCACGTGTGCCACTCAACAGCTCCTTAGACGTTTCATGTTGCTTCTCTATCAATAATATTGGATAAATCATGTCGAGGATTTTATACCCGTACTGGATTCAACAACAAGTGTCGAGCTTAACATATTTCATCAGAAACATTCGTACACGTGCTCGTTCATCTGGCTGCAGGAACCGACTTGATTGTTCTTCAGCACCCCCACCATGTCTCAGCCTCCAATCCCCACAAGCACTGTGCAGAGAGTGATTCCTGTAACTCCACGAATATGCTCAATTCTACTTTAATTCTATTTTTTTTATATATATAAAATAGCATAAGCTACCTTAATTATGGTTGCTTGCCGGGTAGGTGCCCTGGTTCGTTAGCACTGTATTGAGTGGGAGGAAGAAAAAAAAGTCACATTTCCATAGGAAATGCTCCATTGGCCCCCTTTGAGGCAAAGACAAATGATCATGTCATTTAAAAATCAATCGCTGCACTGGCATTTTCAGCACGCTTCTCGAGATTTTGTAAACTGCACGTCCTTGTCACGTTTCCTGTCCCAACACTATTGCACAATACCAATGCACATTACCTGTCATTTTCACTGAAATTCGCGTCCTTGCGTTAAAACAACGCAACGACAAAATAAGAGGCTGCTTTCCTCACCGGAAATACAACACATTGACAAGAGTGTGAAATGTATATAGACGGGACAAAATAGCACGATTAGAAGAAATTAAAAAAAAACACACATTTGCGTAAAGAACATCCCAGAGATTTGCCACCCCGTGTTGTTCCCAAAGAAACACATCGATGGCCAAATACAAGAGGCGGTGGTGGTGGCGGTGGTGGTGGTTCTATTGACTCCTACCTTCTCCTCAGGAAAACTCGAACCACCATGATCCTCCGACGATCGCTCTTATCTCCTCCAACCACGGACGCGTGCCCCTCGCCTGCGTCGCCGACTTTGCCGATACAAGCGAGTGCCACCACCACCACCCCCCCCGAGCAATGCCCTCTCGCTTATAGTGTGCGTTTCTGTGTTTTTTCCCAGGCAGCTTCCGAGGGAGCGAGGAGAAGCGAGCGGGAGGAGGGACGGAATCTATATAGCTGAGGATAGAGAGAGGAGAGGGCTCAAGGCTGATCCCGCATGCGGTGGCACGAGCCTCGTGTGTTTTGGGGACCGGGGACCGTCGATGGCGCTTGTGTATGCTTTAGAACACGTTACAACCAACACCCGTCCTTTTCCCCGGGCGTGTATGTCACACGGCAATTGCGGATGGCACAATCGCAGGGCTCGCTTCAGTCGCGGCCCCCCTAATGAGGCCCATGTCAACGTGAAACAATGGAAAGATGCTACGGGATGAACAGATGCACGGGGGAGGGCTTCATGGGGTAGGGTAAATGTAAAATGGCACCGAATTCCCCAAACGTCATGATGTTATAACCGCAGTATGCAAACGACCACTAGCATTTTTATCTTAACAAAATACATATATTTGGCTCGTATCAGGTAAACACACACCCTCTAATGTAATGAAATTATGGTTTGCAGAAACCCCCCCCCCCCCCATGTAAAAAAAAATATCTAGTAACAATCTCACGAAAAATTAGCCTTACCTTTTTTTTGTGTGCAAAAAAAAAAACCCGACTGGTGAACAAAAGTCTGCAGTCTCAGGGCATAATACGGTGGAAAGTATCTGATCGCCAAAAAAAACCACCCACAATCCTGCACACTCCATACAGGACTGCATTGGCTGGCAATCACGTGAAAAGAGACCACACTTGATTGGCTGTCAAGAAGAATAAGAAGAAGAAGAAAGGGGTGCCGTAGTTGGCCCAGCAGTCTCTCTCTCTCTCTCACGCACAAACCCGCTTGCTGGTGGCCCCCATGCACAAGTCCAAAGCTGCATGCAACAATCACACCGACCGGGCTGCCATTTTGCGCCGTGACAACCCCAATGTGCACCACGCATGCCTGACAGCCATGGGAGGTCAACTGGCCACTGGCTCTTTGACCCGTAGCTGTATAAATGACTGGAGGTTTACATTATGAGACCTCCTTTGCCAGTAACAAGATATAGGAATAGGTTTTACCCTTTTAACTGGTCCAACACCAATGGAGACTAGGCTCTAAGAAAAGCCGTCTCGGGTGTGGACCAATCAAATTCAAGGACAGTGCATATTATTATCAGTTGTCTTTTTTTGTTTGCATTTTGACTGCTTGTGTTGTGGTTATTGCAAACATGATGCCTTGAATAAAGGTGTCAGTTTTTGTGCCAGTTAAAAGGGTAAAACCTATTCCTATGACTGGAGGTTCTGGCGCAGGTAATGGGCATTTACAAAAAAAAAAGCTGTGATGTGATGATACCAATACATTCTGCTTTCTTGATTTAGCATTTTTACGACCGGAAAAAAAAATGGTTATCGGCAACGCTGCAATGTGTGAAATGGTTCTTCCTGTTTCACAGGAAGTTCTGTGTGAGGTGAACCTTCAAGGCAGATTCCCCCAATTGTTGTCTTTCCTCTTGTACATTGCAATTGGCTTAAGATAAGCATTGTTAGTAATTGCACTTGTAACAATAAATATGCTTAATGTTGGACGTATTGCACGCAATTACAACAAAACATGCATTTACCGGCACCTACTCGTTATGTGTGTGTTTTAGCAAGAGTATGACCACTCTATGCTGCTGCAATTAAGCCTTAATACAAAAATGTAAATATACCTGAAACCGATATACAAAACAAATCAATTACAGCACTGCAATTAATAACAATCCATAATCCCTACGTTTTAAAAAATATATTTTCTGGATATATTTTTCTAATTTAAAGTTACAGTTATCACCATACTGATAACAGTGATCTGGTATATTTTGCTGTGTATTCCAATACCAAATCTACATACTTTAGACTAATCCGGTTCTGTGGTGTAAACATTTTCCTGTACGAGGTGACTATTTTTCCATGTTTTTATAAAAATGTCAAAGAATATGAATAGGAAAATGTCATCATTATCTTAAACCTCGTTTTATCTGCATAACCGGGCCGCTGACTTTACTCAATATTAACCTACGCCATTGCAACTGTTGTGCTATTTTATGACCTTATTTATATTCCAGACACCATCCTGTATTTATTGAAACACATAGCGAAAGCATATTTTACTCTTCAATACATACCAGAAATGTCACACTCCTAATTTCTGTATGCCATTGATAGTATAAACATCCAAATACTGTCAAGCAAATGCTCTCCTGAATTCTAAACTGGGCATACAATGCAATGTTTGATGGGGAAAGTCACATACACAGTAATGTAGTTGCAATGTGAACAAAAACACTGGGTTGCAGTCATCTCTCCTGACCATATTTCCAAAACGTGGTTAATTCTGCACCTTAATTCCAGGTACCAGTTATTAAAAGCTATTTGTATGAGCACAAATCCCGGTTAACAAACATCATAGAACACTTCAACAAATACCGTTCACATGCAAACTCGCCGCCTTTCCACATGGCAATAAAGTATGCTTCATACACAATATTTGGGCAGCCCATCTTTCTGCACTCTGTGTCACAGATGTGACACTTTCACACCGTAATGCATCCCACAAGAGAGTCACACACCGCCAACCATCCGGCAGAATTCACCAAGAGACCACGGTGCCCCCTGCTATGCAATCTTCCTACCTTCTCCTCAGGAAAACGCGCACCACCATGGTCGTGGGAAGAGATCAGAGCTATGCTCCAGATGGTTGCCACCGTATGTGCTCGCCGGCTTGACGAGTGAGTGCCCAAGAAAGCCCTCCTGCAGTGTGCGTGCGTTGCGCTCCCACCAGCACCGGCCTCTGAGGCAGCGTGGAGAGAAAGAGAGAGAGGGGAGGACGGAAGGAATCTATAGCAAGAGAGACTCAAACAAGGCTCACGGGGCCTGCACGCACTACATTTTGAGGCTACTGGCTCGCATAGAGGCCACAGTGACATAGCCCCGCAGTATTACAGCATGGTGAAGCCACTGTCAAGGATGTACAGCACATGTCGCCCAGTTGCAGCAAATTATGACAGGAATCGGTGAGAGCCAAATTAACAAATGCAACAGCCTGGTGAATGTCAAAACTCGAATAAGCGGCCAAAAAAGCTGCTTTGATATGTCTAACGTGCTGTGTTTTCATTGGCGATATTAACATTCGATATTGATCAATGAAAACAATGTGTTGTACTCAAGATCCACGTAACTGTAGTGTATTTTATTTTACATGACAAATTGTACCGATGTAGCTTTGATCTTTATGACCAATGCTTGGAGCAGAACACCACTGTCAAAAAATATATTTCCGGTTGTTCATCCTGACTATAGAACACTAAAACAATCACGTCATATCTGTACTCTCATAAAACACCGCTACTCTTTATGACATGTGAAATTTGGTATTTCATTTTCACTTATTATATTTCTGGAAATATGTATAATCTATCATACTCTGCTCCAGAAAAGCGATGGTCTACTTTAACTTTGATGGAGAAACCTAAACTTAACAACATCTGCACAAGCATTTTCATTGTTTCAATTACATGTTTAATTGGCAGGCATGACAGAATACATGTCCATTTCAAGGTTAGAGTGCATTACAGATCATCTATAAATGGCTGTGTGAAATACAATGCTGTTTACCATAACTCTCTTTTTGTTGCGACATCCACGTGGCAATACAACACGGTAGTCAAAACAGTGTTAGCTGTAGCTGTAACTTTCATTGTCTTTGGGTTTATAGAGCCCTGTATTTGGAGTATATACAGATATGTAAAGTGCAATACAGTTTCGTTGCATTCTCGAGTTAGATTATGAGTACATACGCAGAATTTCCCTAAATCCAATTCGATGTCAGTGTTTTCTGTTCGTGATCCCATTAACTGTGTGTATCTGCACAGATCACTGTCTTTATCCACTGCGGATAAACCCAGACAATAGGGTCATCCTGCTACCACCACCTTTTGGGTCACTCTTATCCACGCAAATGCTCAGATAATCGGATGAATTTAACGGTTCCGGAAGACCACATCCAGGTGCAATATATTGACGTTCATCGTCAATTCTGTTCCAGTCGTAACGTACTTGTGTCACGCGTTCTCCACATGACAAATTAAACAGGTAACAGATTAGCTGCAATGTTAAACTCCTTATGGGAAACTCCAGCAAAAAACAGCAATATATATCACATTGCAATGTACGATAGAGTAACACTGTACTGTAATGATGGGCTTATGAGAAGACATACAATGTTTCTGGTCAAAATATCCTGCCGTTACTATGATACGCTTTAATATGCGCGACCATCAATGGCACAAATTGCCCTCAATATTTGCATGTGTTGTGCTAAGCTCGTCTGTGTCTGAGCAGTACTAACTGTTCATTAGAGACGATAAATTAATAATAATGATTAAATAAACATCTCACACTGGACCCTACCGTCGAGCCTCCCGGTTTAAACCTTCCACTTCGCCAAATGGTCGACCATCAACCGAATCGGCATGACCTGATGCGGCTACCCGATGCATAAACGGCACATCAAAGATTCGGAGGCCTTCGAGTGGTCCGGCCACGAATCCCAAACCATCGACCGCAGCGTAAAACACTCCGCTGCTGTTTTCACTCCTTTAAAGGAGGAATGGACGTGATCCACTCTGCTTATGAACAGACAATTGAGTGGATAACAAATCTGAAATTACATCTTTCATCTGCTGATATTAATCCATACAAAAGATTAGAGACAACATACAACAAAAATACGAATTGTTTATGAAATTCATCAATAAAGGTACAATAGGATATCAGGGTTAAGGTTGAGTGGGGCCCAGATGTTGGCACTATATAAGGCTCAGGACCACTCCATATGGTAGATTATTATAGCAGGCACTCTCAGGGTTCAGCCATGTTGTGCACATGTTCCTGTCTATACAATGTACCGTAATGCACACACGAACCTATGCACTCATGAAAGAGCAATATATAACAATATACAATTTATTGCAGTACAGTGCTACTTTCCTAGAGTGTATGTGTAGTAAGTGTACGGTATTAGGGTACGCATTAGTTATAACAGAATACTGAAGAATGCAAAAATTATGTACGCATGAGAAAATATCGCCATATGTGCCATCTTAATCTATGCTGACGAAATTAATGTAACTGTACCACACACACAGTGGAATTCCTCTTATCTGTGACCATTGTATCCGTGACTCCGTTTACCTATGCTCCCGAGTTGATCTTGCGGGGCCGATATTTCCTACTTCTTATTATCTGTTATTTTCATGGATCAGAGGAGTTGTCCCAGAGTGGTCGCAACAGGAGCTAAATTCATCCCGTTAAGTTTCACGGATACAAAGGGCCACGTGGGTAACTTCATGCTTTTGTTAGGTTTTTTTGTGGCTAACAGGAGTTGTTTTGTGGATAACAGGATGAGAACTCCTCCTCTCATCTAGGGAAATATCAGAACACGGTTACACCCCGACCATGCCCCCCGAGATCAAAGTGGATAAGAGGCGTTCCACTGTATTAGTTGCTGGCACACATACATTCTTAGCGGTTGTTTAGCCTCATCGCGGTAAGGCTTCAGTCACGCTTGGCACCCTTCCTCGCCACAAAGATGAACAAAGCAATAAGCAAACTGCGTCTTGAATCAAACCATCTGGCTATAAGAGCTCCGATATGTAATATTTACCAATTCACATTCCATAAATATTAGAAGTGTGAGGAAGCATCGATTCATAGATTCCTAAGCCCACAATAAATGTACCAAAACTGCCGAAGAATCAATCATTTTCCATCTGTATGTGTTTAAATGGGTTCACATGACCCCTGTAGCTGCAATAGTGGCTACCTTGATGGTGGCATTCTAATCAAGGGCATGGTTAATCCAACATTAATTTAGCATCAATAATATTGTCTGCAACTTTTCCAGAGCGTGTACATGGACAAGTTCTATTGTTGGAAGGTTTTTTCACAACATATAGTACCGTTTTGTAAAGCAGAATACTACTTACAGATTTTTTTAAGTAAACATTATTTGGTAAAAAAAAAACATTTAACAAGAAAATTGCAGCACAGCGTTAATAGTGTACAGAACTGCAGATTTCACGTCTCAAACACATCCGTCATGACAAAATCCTCGGTGGCAGTGCGTATTTTCATACATTTCACAGCACAATTTCCTTTCACCTCTAAATTTGTGTGACTCTGTGTACTCTATAGTTGTGTGTGGATGCGCAAGTTTAGAGTGCACTGTGTGTCCAATCCCAGCCACCTGGGTTAGATTATCGGCTTCGGACAACACCAGTATGTGTGGCAAGTGGCATCTGACCCTGTCCTGGGCCTCCCGTAGGGTCTACCCAGTCCTAAATAGGTAGTCGGTGGATTGCGTAAACATTGGGGAATATGGTTGGGACTTGTGTTGGCCACACTATCCCCTCGAATGCCATTTCGACCTCACTTAAAAGGGTCCTACCAGCTCTTGACCCAAAAGTCTTTCAGGCTAAACGGGGGGTCATTGTCTTTCTATTGTATGCTCATTTCAGACCTCTCAATTTTCACGCATTATTTGTCATGTGGCCCTGGTATCGCCATAACCTGTAAGTGTTATGTTATAGCCTTGGGCTGTCTTGATCTTGCAAGTCTCAATTGGGCACCCCTGGCTTTTAATGTGTGTCAATTCTGTGGTGTCACAGCACAAGAAAAAACAATGGACCATCGAGAGGTTCCCCTGACCACTGCCAGTCGTTCCCACGTCCCCTGGTGGCCACTCTTACTCATTTCCCACGTTGGTGCCACAAGATATTCACCGTAGGAGAAGCACGGCATACAAATTCTAGATGACGGAATTGCGATTTTGTTGATACGCATAGCGTATCACAATTGTACTATTTATGCGTGTCATCAAAGTACAGGAAAGTTGTCGACATAAACGTTCATGTGCAACGTGGCAGTAGTGTACTTACACGTGTTTCAGTCAGTATTCATCTGAGGCAAACACTTAAACAATGTGCTGATATTGTGTAATATCATACTGATTGCCATTTTGGTTCAACATTGCAGTACACATATTTAAATTGGTTGCCTATGCATCAGTACATTTCTATACATACAGTACAGTCATGTGGTAAATCCACGTGAAGATACGGTCGTATTTCAGATTTACTTCCATACAAATCTTGTTTTCTGTATATGTTACCACCACTGCTTCTCTATCACCACCAATGTTGCACGGCATCAGTGGAAAAAAACGCCACCTTAACATCCGCTAAAACTCCCTGTAGCACTGGCCAGCTTAAAAATCCACCTCATCACCCACACATCAAAACTCCACATTACACACACCTCATCGCCCAACCACATCAACTCACAATGTAACGCCTCTTCAACATCCATTCACGTCGTTATTCACCACTTCATATACTCGCAACACCGCGTGCTGACCTCAGCTCGTATAACACCACCTCATGACGTGTTCACTTTGTAACCCATACCTTGCCACCAATCCATCTCATCATCGATCCAACTCACTTTACAAAAACCACACCTCTTGGGCGTTGCTGTTGTGATGCCTGTAGTTCAGCTGTAACTCTGTTGTACTATGGCTTTTGTTATCGTATGTAGTGTTTCGTGGCTAAGTTGTCGTATGGGTAGTTATGGATGAGTTAAGTGATGACGTCACCCTGCTGCTCTATATAAAACCGGGAGCAAGCGAGGGCTTTACCATTCTGGCGAATTGCCCGATGATGCTGGATGTATTTACCAGCGAAACGTCGTACTCAAACTGTAAATGTGGATTCACTCTTCAACATACCGGTGGGCTAAAGTAGTGAATTATTTGTCTTTTTGTCAACGTGACACTTTTTTTGCTGATTGGCCGTATCGGGTGGTGGAGGGTTACGACACATTTATAAATAAACGCGATCTAACCCAAAAAACCTTTATTATGGTATAGTTGTTGCATTGCCTTGTAATGAGGTTTAGCGCTTGTTTTGATGTCGTTGTTGTGATTAATTGGTGTAGAGTATTTTGTTTCATTTTATTTATGACGAAATCGCGTGCAATGTTCCCTATCTCAAATCTTGGAATCTAAGCAGGGCCTGGTTCGTGCTTGGATGGGCGACCGCCATACATGGGTTGTCATAGGGCTGCGGGGCTGTGGTGAGCGGTGCAGCAGCATCCATTGTTGTACTGAACAATGTTCCCACTTCCATGATCTTCGCCTTCATCAACCCTGATCCAATAACCCACCTGACCTCCACGGCGTGGGGAGGCCCTCATCCAGCAATGGATTTGACAATGGATCTACATTTGATCAGATTGTTGTCGCCTGGTTTTATATTTTAACGTCGGTTTCCAGCAGTTGCAGATACGCTTTTTGAGTCTCATGGTGTTAACTGATACACAATTACCTGTAGGTTGCAGGCAGATTTATTTTTGGAAAGGCAGAAAACTGCCAAAATATGCCAGCCCTATCATCAAGGTTTTCATGGTACAACTGCAACCAAACACCACTAAATCAGTGTTTGTCCCATTTAAAAAAAATTCACAAATCCATTCATGTGCCCAACTTAAAGATACTGATCGTTACAATAACGGACTATATCACCAATTAGGGCACATGAGTGTAAAATGACAAAACTTCAAAACGATAAAGTGGTATATATGTTGAACTTTTTTAGTGGTGTCCACACACTTTAATACAGGCATTTAAATTGCTTTATTCAAAATTTAGAGTTTAGATATTTCTCATTTACATGTTAATTCAGTAACATGAGCTCTTCACCCCATTTCATGTGATGGAATAAACCTAAATTTCCCCACCCATACAAGACATAAACTGTACTGTGATTACTGAATTAGCAAGCATCTAAAGCAAGATAAATGTTTTCATTCTTAACACTCAAAGATTAAATATTATCAGCCCAAAAAAAACACGGTAATGACACGAACCACAATATTAATTTTTGTATTGCCTTTGGATTTTCTGAAACACATTGTGCATGTAAACATAGCAGTACACTGTAATGTGAAGCTGCTGTAGAGGAAGTTCACCGATAATAATGAATTGCAGGACTATTATCAGTGTGTGTACCATCATTGAGAGGGCACATTCCGTACACCCGCTCTTCTGTCTGCTTCTTTCTGGAATAAAATATCCCTCCACAGTCTTATTCAGGAGCAAGTTATTGCATCATGTTTTGGATACATTTCTTACCAATTTAGCCCGGAAAAGGGGAAAAGTTTACACGGATTTCCATTCTTGTACCACGTGGGATTTCGTCATGCACTTCTCTGTATGAACTATAAAAGATACAGAAAATACCAAAGTAACAGCTGAAGAGATAATATTTCTACAGGGCTTTTGAAAAATATTTTCTCAAACATTTCTAATCAATTCACAAAAACTACTTAGCAGCACACATCAATGCCAAACGTGTAGCACTGCAACACTTTAGAAAAAAATGCATAAAGCATTTTCCAATGAAACACATACATGCCAACAAGGTGTCTATTGCTATAAAATACTCTATTTACCCCAATATATTAGAATGTGGGGTGAAGTAATAATGCGGTGCTTAGCGCATTGCACTTTGAACTCAATTAATTAAGTTTAATTACCAGCTATGGCTAACATCAGTGGTGAATTTTTTTTTAACCGATTTATACTCAAACTTGGGGAATAAAAGAAGCACGTTTGCTAGTTTAAATGAATCCATGTAATGAGTTGCTAGACAGCATATTAACTGATGTTAATATTTTAATGTTCTAGAGAACCTCCACAGTTTACAAAGTTAGTTTTGACTTCCTGTGCTGATTGAAATAATGTGGTGTTCCTTTATGTGTTTTACATATATGTATTAAAATGAAACAAAGGTATGGTTTTCGAATATCAAGTCTGATTAAAATTTGAAAAGATAACAGTACTCTTTGGTTCTTTCAATAAAATCACGTAGGTTAAAAAAAATGTGATTTAATTTAGTTGTTTTCATTTTTTTTACCTACGTGACTTTACCGAAAGAACCAAAGAGTATGGATCCTTGCAGTCACGAAAACTTCAAATCTAGAAGATAACAGTAGTTAGTCGGCACCCACATTGTAATATGACTCAAATACGGTATAAGCAGGGCCTGATTTCAGCTGGGACTGTCTGAGTTGCATCCGGCACACCACATCCACTTTACCTATCGCTGCGGATGTCGCTACTATTCATGTGAATACTTCAGCCTACTGGTGACCCAGAAATCATTCAGTGGGAAATTAAGCCCTGAGTATAAGGCTCCAACAATGCGATTTGAAATTACTATATTTCAATCGTATTGCAGTATTTAAAAGCTACAGAGGAGAAGCAGGATGGCAGTGGGAATCATTATACTATTACTGCTCTTGCACCGTAGCCAATGCTTCAGTATCCAGTGGCTCTCGCTCCTCATATTTTGCTGTGTCGTGCTTCTGTTGAAAGGTCTTGAGAGTTGCTTGTGGGATCATCGCAGCATTCTCCTCTAAAAACTTGAGTACATATTTGTCAGCATCGGTGATAATGTACCTGTGTCCAAAAGCTGCAGAAGACATAAAAACAACACAAAACATGCTGCCTGTAAGTAGATTTATGAAGACGATTTTTTTTTAATTTCCCAAACCACATAATGGCTTTAGAGTTACTTTCCATTGATGGCAATGACTTGGTTCATCAATGATGGCAGTCATATATATTTAAAACATGTAACACAAGACTTTAAGCAATTTAGAGCTTTAAGATGATGCTGCCATGTAAGTGAAAACAATACATCTCCAGGCTGTAATACTTGCAGGCCCAAAATCGAAAATGTTAATTTGAGGATTTTTTTTCACGGTGATTAAATAGTTAACTGCAGAGAACGATTATTTGTAACTGGTAGGGAAATAGAAGAGTGCTTGTAGAACAAAATACTCCCACCAATATCTGCACAATCCAAATTTACTTCCCTTTTAGCCAAAACAAATATGGCAACAAACTACTTTTATATTTAATCATTCCACCATAATGCATTTTAAATTACCCAAATAATGTATTCTGGCTGGGTTGGAAAATGAGGGGTCTACTCAATGCCAGAAGGTGGGTCAGATTAGTTCATTGTGTGGGACATGGAGACCTTCCACAGAGCAAATCGCTGCTGGAAGCATGGAGCATCACGACTTGACATGAAATTATGGAACATGTGAAAAATCCACCTCAGTGTATGCTTTGGCTGGCTACCAATATGCCTGCGGTGTGCAGTCTACAAGCCAGCCAACTGTCAACACTCTGCATAATCAGAAGTCGCAATGCCCTGGGAATAAATGGCATTTTCACATTTAAAAAAAACTAACTGCATAACATCCCTCGCATCCTCACAATCAAAGTCAAATTGTGACGAAAGTGTGCTCTGATCTGTTCAGACTCCCTTGTAACACATACATTACATAATGGGTTGCTCTGGAATAAAGGTTGCTCTGCATGACTGGCTGTGTTGCTTAGTGGGTTAAATCCTCTTATAAGATTACTGCTCTGGCACCTTTGAGACCTCCATATAGTTCTGAGTTTTAATCGTGTACTAAATTATACTTGTGTGTACGAATGTATGCACAGGAATATACCTCAGAGAGTAGTGGATAGGTGAAAGCAAGCCAAAAACTAGGAAAGGAATATGTGCCTGGTTCTGTGACTGAGTAACTGAAGTGATTTATAATTGTTTCTAGAACAGCTATAAAGCTGGAATGTATCACAAATATAGTTGAGTCTGGGCTTATAAATACTACAAACCAAAATTTGCCAATTTTTGTGCCCCGAAAACATACGGCCAAAAGGTTGCTTTGTTTCTCTCATACGGCAGTCAGCCAAAATGTTTCTTTATTACGTCTCGTGATAAACACTTAATAATATTTCATTGATATCTTCAGTGAACCAAGTCATTTGACTCCTGTATAGTGTGATGCAGAGGCCACTACTGGTTTATAGTAATGACATTATATGTCACAGCCCTTTGTCGACCAACTGCTGGATGAAGGCTTCCCTATACTGTATCAGTCATTCAAATTATTTAGCCATATTTCACCCTGCTGGTCATTGCAGGTTGATGAGAGGGCAGGGGACAGGACCGGTCGATATATCACTTGCCACTGATGTTAGCTGTGGCTGGGAATAACCACTCCCTCTTGTAGGGTGGTGGTCCAGTGGTTCATGCACTACACTATAATCCTGACGATAGTATTTGGGTCCACCTCCTAAATATGGCTAACATTAGGGCCCCTCCCACTTCATCAACCAGCAATGACCAGCATTGTGAAATATCGGCAAACAACACCCACAAGCTTGCACACAAATATGTATACACAGTACATGTGGATATAACGTCAAGCACAATACTTTTGTGTAACTTTTTGCTGTTGTGCTGTATAGCTCTCTGATTTGTTTTTGGGTTGTACCGCGTGCTGTTCTGCATGACGTGTGACATTTCACTCCACGTGCTGGAAGCTTCTGCAGAAACTAAAAGTTGCGCCTAGCTGCCAGCACATCGAGCGAAACGCCGAACATCATGCCAAACATCACGCAGTACGTCTCGCAAACAGATCGGAGAGTTACCAAGCACAATGCGTTGGTATCCTTCCACTTAAGAGGCAAGATACTTTGAAGTGAAACTCCACAGACATGCTGAGGATACCGTGAATAGTGGCGCCAATGGCAAAGTCGGCTGGTCCGTAGTACTCCGGGCTCTCGGTGGAGGTGCCTGGCTTGGAGATGCGTGTCTTCTCCAGTACCTTGCCACCCACGATACCGGAGTTACGAACGGGCGGCTCGTAAATGCTGACCGTGTCCGTGGACAGGTAGTACGAGATGATAAAACGCCGTCCTCTCTCAACTGCCCGTACAGAGTCCTGGTGGAAGACACACAGGGGGATAATGCAGTTGTCATTAGTTATTTTTAAAGACTGAGATACATTCTCTTTGGTTTTTTCGGTAAAGTCACGTAGGTAAAATAAATGAAAACAACTAAATTAAATCACGACGTTTCGGAGGCAATACAAGCTTCCGTCTTCAGGTGGAAACCGTCACAGCAAAATTGCTGTATCAAGTGAAGAGAGTGATACAGCAATTTTGCTGTGACGGTTTCCAACTGAAGACGGAAGCTTGTCTTGCCTCCGAAACATCGCGTTTTAATTTAGTTGTTTTCATTTATTTTACCTACGTGACTTTACCGAAAAAACCAAAGAGTATGAATCCTTGCAGTCACGAAAGCTTCAAATCTAGAACTGAGATACATTGTTGTCGAATTTAATAATAATATTATAACAAATAATTCACTTTGATTTAAAATACCATATATGGGTCATCAGACATGTAAGTGGTGGTTTTAAGGAAAAACTGTTAGGTGTAAACTTTGCAAAAACTAAGGAATGCAGTGTAGTGATGTGTTTTTGGGTTGTACTGAATGTAGTTTGGCATGATGCTCAACGTTTCGCTATCATGTACTGGGAGCTTTATCAGCACAACATGAGGTACAATCTTAAAACATATCAAAGAGCCGTATAGCAAATACGTTAAAACCTTCGTAGGTAGTAACAAAGGGTAAGTGATGACAAGGTGTGGTGGCATCAGCCTTGCTGACCTTTTAACCTTGACTGAATTCCTTACAAGGAGCTAGCTCTTAAAACCCTGAGCCTTTGATATTAAACGAAGGGATGCCTGTAGTGGACCATTCGCGTGTGATCTCTTACCAGCACAGCCTCGTATCGCAGCACTTTGCCGTTGTTCTCCAGCATTTTAACAACATCCTTCTTGGGCGGCTGTGGCACCAAAGTGAGGCAGTTTTGCAGCGAGTCCTCCAGGGACCCAAGCCCATTGTATGGTGGAATTTCCTTCAATAAAACGAAATACACATGAGCCGCATTAATATTTTGTATTTCACCTCCTGATACAACACTTTTTAAGGCACATAAAAGCGGCTCCTTTGAACTGTCGGTTTAGGTCTGCCAGATAGAATTTTGTCAATGGAATATTCACTACGTGTGTTGGTCTCTAGATATTAACATTGATGCAGCTGTAGTGAGTCCAACTGAGTCGCAGACGTTGTTCCTTTTAGAGGCAACACATTTACAGTCATACCTCGGTATATGACTGCTTTGGAATACGTCGAATTTGGTATATGTCGTGTTTTGATGAGAAAAAAATGTCTTGCGATACGACGTTTTGCTTGGGATACGACGCCTCGCTTGCTAGAACTTGTCTGGGTCGGGATGAGTCACCGCGTACCCGCGTAGACCCCGTTGACGACTGAAACAAAGCACCGCTCCTCAGTCTGCCTGTACAGTAGATCTCGTTCAGTGCACAACCCTTGCTATAACTTTGTGAATTTTCACGTGTTTCAACTCCTCTCAGCAAGGTAAAGTGATGTAAAAAAATTAAATTTATTTTAATTTATTTATACATTTCTTTTAATGTATGTATGCATTTTAGTAATAAGTAGTGTTTAAATTATGTTATACAACCCCATTAATGTATAATATGCCATATCAAATATAATTTCTTATACTCTGGAACGGGTTATTTCCTACCCTTTATTTCTTATGGGAAAAATTCGTTTGGTATACATAATTTTCGGTATAAGTCCTACCTTCTGGAACGAATTAACAACGTATACTGAGGTACCACTGTATTTGTAACACCGTAACACAAAGGGGTAACTGCCCGTTTACCAGATACAACCTAGGGTGGTGACCACCCAGCTAACTACACTATACAGAGGAGTTACTGCTACGAAGGGTCGGACCCTCACTCGGGTCTCCGACCACGTGGTTCCTCGTAGGACGAAGAGCTTCCAGCTTGAGACGCCGAGCTTCCAGCTTGTAGAACGAAGAGACCCCGGTCCCTCTCAGGGACCCGCCTTATATCCCCCTAAGGTCGGTCGGGCCGCTCCGCCCTCGGCCCCGCCCGCCTTCTCGAGCATTCTCGTTCCCTCTCGATCCTTCTCGATCCTTCTCAAGAGCTCTCCCCGGACACGTGATCACCCACTAGCCCCCCCACCTGGGGCCCCCTGTGTGGACACTCGGGATCACGTGTCTACGGGGTCAACCAGAGTGCCATGGCCCGGGGCAACCTTGCCCCTGGGCTGACGCTCACCCACTCCCTCTGGTGGGAGCCCCCACCCAACGCTGTGCGTGGTGCCCGCACTATCCCTGTGCTCACCAAGCCCCGCTCGGGCTGGTACTACACACAGCCACCCACACGGTGCTGTCCACGCTAGGGCTGGTGCTACACACAGCCACCCACACGGTGCTGTCCACGCTAGGGCTGGTACTACACACAGCCACCCACACGGTGCTGTCCACGCTAGGGCTGGTGCTACACACAGCCACCCACACGGTGCTGTCCACGCTAGGGCTGGTGTTACACACAGCCACCCACACGGTGCTGTCCACGCTAGGGCTGGTGCTACACACAGCCACCCTCACGGTGCTGTCCACGCTAGGGCTGGTGTTATACACAGCCACCCACACGTTGCTGTCCACACTAGGGCTGGTGCTACACACAGCCACCCACACGGTGCTGTCCACGCCCAGGGCTGGTGTTACACACAGCCACCCACACGGTGCTGTCCACGCTAGGGCTGGTGCTACACACAGCCACCCACACGTTGCTGTCCACGCTAGGGCTGGTGCTACACCCAGCCACCCACACGGTGCTATCCCCGCTAGGGCTGGTGCTACACACAGCCACCCACACGGTGCTGTCCACGCTAGGGTTGGTGTTACACACAGCCACCCACACGGTGCTGTCCACGCTAGGGCTGGTGCTACACACAGCCACCCACACGTTGCTGTCCACGCTAGGGCTGGTGCTACACCCAGCCACCCACACGGTGCTGTCCACGCTAGGGCTGGTGCTATACACAGCCACCCACACGGTGCTGTCCACGATGTAGGAACATCGAACGGCGCGGCCCTTCTGGGCCGGCACCATACAGTGACATCCCCGACGTCACTACACAGCTATAAACTGATATCAAATTTTTTTTGATAATTGAGTACTGTTCTAAGACTTGCAGCTCTGGTAACGACTCATTTAGTAAAATTATGTATCAACTAGCCTTTTGCCCGTCCAAGGACGGGTGCATTGCAGTAAACCTGAAACTTGCAAGCGAAAATCAGACCGCGACGTGATATTCATTGCATCCATTCGTGTGCAATTTGTAAGGGCGCGGTGACACAGACCTATTTTATTTTAAGGTTATAATCCCTTGTTCATCATGAAGTCCTTTTTACTTTGATGTCTCAATAGCGTTACGGAGATCGCATGACATGAGGGTTCTGCCTTTGTAGTGAGGGTTGTCAGTTGACGCCGAGGAGGGGGCAGGAGGCGCCTCGCCCCCCCCATGTGGAGTGACGTCACCCGCTAATTATTATGAATGGGGGGGGGGGTGTCCATTTGGAGGACGTCACCTGATAATGATTATTAATGAAGGGGGCTGTTCGATGTGGAGTAACATCACCGGCTCATGATTATGAATTAGGGGGGAGGGTGCTCCATCTGGAGTGACGTCATCTGCTCATGATTATTCATGAGGGGGGGTCCATGTGGAGGACGTAACCTGTTCATGATTATTAATGAGGGGGGCTGGTCGACGTGGAGAGACGTCACGAGCGTTGCACACAGACATTCTTGGCTCATTATATTAGGTAATAGTAATGAGGACGATGTCCATTTGGAAGATGTTACCTGCTCATGATTATTAATGAGGGGGGCTGTTTGATGTGGAGTGACGTCACTTGTGCATGATTATTAGTGAGGGGGGGGGAGTACTCCATATTGAGTGACGTCACCCGCTCATGACTATTAATGAGCAGGGGTGGGGGGGTGTCCATTTGGAGGACGTCACCTGCTCATGAATATTAATTAGGGGGGGCTGGTCGATGAGCATTAAGGACAGACATTCCTGGATGATTATATTAGGTATGAGCGAAAGCAAAATTAATGTAATCATGTCCTTGCAAATACATGCACAAATTGTCTTCGTAACCATATACAGTAATACCCTGGTTTACGTCAGGGGATACTTTCTCAAAAGGTGCGATGACAAATATTGAAACGACACAAATCAAATTAACTTACAGGGTAGGTGGAGGTCGAAGGCTGAGGCGACGGATACGAGAAAGGATGGACGATGCAGTCAGCGATGTAAGTGTGGATTGAGGTAACGCAAATCGGGAATTAATAATAAACCGACGACGTATTTGCGAAACAACGTAAAAGGGGAAGGTGTAATCGGGCTATTACTATATATCAAGAGATTGAGTGGTTGTCATACAGATGTGCAAGCATGTATACAGGAGTTTTAAATATTTTTTTGAAGTGCACATATGTCGTCCACCGTGCAGTCACAAATGAACGCATCCGTTTCATATGCATGCAATATCAAGACAGACCCAATGGGTCGAGCAGTGAGCCTCACCCGTGTGATGGAGTACGTGGGGTACTGCTGGGGCGGTTCCACGGGAGTGACATCTGACATCTTGAGGTATTTCTGGTAGAAGTCCTTGGTGAAACGGTCCGCGTCGTACAGCAAGAAGCGGCGTCCCATTACCTCCACCTCCTTCCCTAGGACCAGGTCCTTGGGCGAGAGCCACCCCGACACCTCCTGGTCTGACAGCTCCAGGACGCACGATGGGAACGTAGCTGCAGGGGCGGCGGGGAGCAGGGGGCATAGTGTGAAGGGCGTCTCACCTCGCACTGTGTTCAACAACCATACTGCAGGACGTGCGTTTGTATGTATGTTGAACTTCTTTCGCACCGTATGTAGCCAACCGTGCTAATCGGAGGTACGGGTGAAGGACAACATTCTAAATACCAAAAGCAGTTCTAAAGAAATTAGTTTCCAAATTAGATGTAAAAGTACATAGCTCCAGTAGCTTTCTAATATCACAAGGAACAGCATTTCAGACGGCCGCAGAAGCACACGAGAAAGCAAGCGATTCAGTGACCATCTTTGTTCAATGGTTCGCCAAAAGCCGCTGCAAGGATGACCGGAGTTTGTGGAATGATTTATGCTCCTTGATGGGATCAGCAAGGTATTGTGGTTCATATGTGGAAAGCACTTTGTGTGTAATTAGTGTAACCTTATAATGCAGCTCAGTAGGCACTGGATGAACATGGTCGGATCTTGCATTATCCGTCACGACACGTGGCAAATAATATTGGACACTCTGCAGCTTGGTAATGTATTTTTCCAGACGTCCCGTAGAGTAGTCAGTTGCAATAATAAAGCCTTGTCGATATAATTATGCTACACACCACCGTGTTGGCTATTTCATGACTCAATAGTTCTAGATGTATCAAAGAGTCCTGATATGAACATTGCAAAACGTGATATTTTGCACGTGGTGATCAAACGATATGTTCTGGTCGAGTATGGTGCCGAGGGTCTTTAGATGTGTAGAAAACTGAATCCTGGAGTTTGTGACCGCCACACCTAATCCTCCCACATATTTGTTTCACCTGAGCCCGAGTGCCAAAACACTTGTCATACTGATTATTTTATTGGGCCTGCTCGACTTTGGAATTCCATTCCTTCATCTCGTTTTCCCAAGTTCTTAGAATCTTGCTCAATAAAAAAAACACATAACTCTTATCTTGTACACCGTCATGTATGTTGTTTATTGCTGGCCGCTTGGCGTTCTGGGCTTCTGGGCCTGTGCTTGGCAGCTGTGATTTAAAAGCATCAGTGTCACAGCGCAAGGAGCTCTGCCGTGTAAATTGAATCGTAGGTGTAGTAGCAAGGTAATGGGCTCAGGCCAGTCGCAAAAAAAAACATTAATTTGGTTTACTTGAGATTGATTGATATGAGAACACTCGTGACAGATCTTATAAAATAAATAACCGTAGTGAGGATATAAAAGTCTGTTGAAGTGACTTCAGGTCTGTGACGTCTGTGTTTGTTCTCTGACACAGGGTGATGCAGGCTGTGAAAGAGCCAAAAGGACAGGCGATGACTCGGATATCACAATTGCAATGTAATATAAATCATAAGAACAAAGAAACAAGTTAACACGGTATAATGATTCAAAATAAAGGTTTTTGGGTTAGATCGCGTTTATTTATAAATGTGTCGTAACCCTCCACCACCCGACACGGCCAATCAGAAAAGAAAAGTGTCACGTTGACAAAAGACAAATAATTCACTACTTCAGCCCACCGGTGTGTTGAAGAGTTAATCCACATTTACAGTTTGAGTACGACGTTTCGCTGGTAAATACTTCCAGCATCATCGGGCAATTCGCCAGAATTCGCCAGAATTGCCCGATGATGCTGGAAGTATTTACCAGCGAAACGTCGTACTCAAACTGTAAATGTGGATTAACTCTTCAACACACCGGTGGGCTGAAGTAGTGAATTATTTGTCTTTTGTCAACGTGACACTTTTCTTTGCTGATTGGCCGTGTCGGGTGGTGGAGGGTTACGACACATTTATAAATAAACGCGATCTAACCCAAAAACCTTTATTATGAATAATATTGGTCGCGAAAGCCTACGTGTTATAATGATTCAAGTAGAGTATTTGACCTAAGTATAATTTTGCCATAAAATGAAGTAGTTTTTTTTACATAAACATGGTGCGTTCATGTTTATTCGCAAATTTACCAACGCAATGGGAAGAAAAATGCTTCAATACGCAACATGGACCAATTAAAAGCTAATCCAAAGTAAAAATTCAAATCACATGCTAATTATTATTATATCAATGAAAATTATCATTACATTTCTTCGCGGCCACGTGTCGTCTCTGTTTTTCGAGTGCCCCCTAAGCCCAGGAGGGGGCCCCCTCTAGTGGCCGCGCGCTGCACCTATAAACTAAAATTAAACTTTGTATTTAAACCAGGTAAGGCCCACTGAGCTATATAGCTCTTTTTCAGAAGCGACCTGGCCACAAATGATAGCTCAACGAAGTGCCTTATCATGTGGACATTTATAGCAGCCAAATACTTTAAACGCATGTTGATTATAAATGTAGAGGGAAAAACCGGAGGACCTGGAGAAAAATCCCCGCGACCACGGGGAGAGAGAAACACTCAAATTCCAAAAATACAGGCATCAGGGTTAGGATCGAACCCATGACCTCCTATATATCAGGAGAGGTAGTTAACATCTCGCCACCGTGGCACCCATTGATGTAAAATTATGCTTATAATGATATAATTTTTATTATGATTCATTTTTTATTATTAATTATAAAAATTATAAAACTTCGACAGCACCGGTTCATGGCAAGCCATTATAAGGACATTGAACCCTTGGAGTGCGGGACCCACGGCTGATGGAGCCACGATCCTTGGGGATGCGCTGTCGACGCAGCAGCACGGGAAAGGGGTCCCGGCCATCGTTGGGCTGGTGAACCTCTCGCACTTCCAGGGTGTCGTCCACCAGGTAGTACTGCAGCACCACCGGCCGAACCTCGCCGCTCTCCTTGTCATCCCATACGCAGTAGAACCTCAGCACCTGGCCAACACAGAGCACAACAGCAACGTTTCTCTCCGGGTCCTTGAGTTGCTGCAGAAGCTGCCTAACACGTGGAGCAAAACATCAGAAATAATGCCAAGCAACTTACGGTAAAACCCGGTAGCACATCAGAGGGTTATAATTCTATTTGTGATCAGGTGCTATCAGATGTAAATGGCTGAGCGGCTTCCTCACATGTGTCAAGGAAAGGGTACCTTGCGGTCCATGGTGAGAAACTGGCCGAGCTTGTCCAAGGCGGTTTGCATTGGGGCAGCCGAAGCAGGCGGAGGCATCTCCTGGCGTGGATTTGATGGCATCGCCTCTGGCTCATTCAGCAATATCCCCTCGCTCTGCAGAAAATCCTACAGGAAGATCGCGCGGAAAAGGACAGCATGATGTACGGACTGAGGTATAACGTACAGATCATTTAAGATAATATACACACTGAAGTATAATATATAGAAATTATATTTTTAAATCAGACTCGTGTATCAGCAATGGCAAAGGCCAGGTGACTGGGCAGATATGTTATGTGAGTGCTAAACAAATGCAACATAAATTCACATACATTTAATAAATGCATATGCTGCTATAACCATTTGTCATTTTGTACATTTTTACATTTCGTGTACGCAATGAGTATCAATCAATATAATGAACGAAACAAAGAGCAATAGTAAAAAAACATAATCTACGTGCATTTCTTGAAAAAACCCGCTTATGAACAAATCATAAAACAAGGTGAAAGGAAAGTAAGGAAATAGGTTGTTCCTAGATCATGACCTTGTACAATTACATGTGGACTAAGGATTTAAACCAAACAATGATCTTGACGCTGTATGGACACACGTCAATGTCTCAACTGATACTCAACAGGATTAGCCCATCTCAATCGTTACATTACAATGCTAAAATAGTCAATTTGGAAGGTTATTTACTCATATACATATGAATCATTTGGCGGGACCCTGGGGTCCCACAAAAATCAGGTCAATAATTATTTTTCAGTCCGCCCACTCGTGATCCCGACAGCAACGCGACAACGCCCTCCGGTCAGCCGTCGATCCTCAGCTTCTTTGCCAAGGCGAGCCCGCCCCCGCAGTGAATTTAACGTGTTTATGTAATTTTTCAACTTTTTACGAAACTTAGTGCCTCGAGTAGCTCTTGACGAGGCCAATCGATTGACACTAGTTTTGTTGTCGGGAAGGCAAGACTCGTGTCGCTACGTGGTTTTTCCCACCCCGTGACAGTGATGGGAACCTGGGGTCCCGCCAATTGCTTCATATGGGTATGAGACGTAAATACCTATGTAGAATGGAAAATTAACTCTTGAAATGGTACATAAACCACAAAACCCATATTAAACAACCAAAAAATGTGGACAAAAGATGCGACATACACTACTCTACATAGATGCTATACAGCAGTGGTTCCCAACCCTTATGGATGTGTGGACCACTGTCAACCCTCACAAAAAAAATTTGCAGACCACAATTCAGTAAAAAAAATCTATGGTGTGCAGTAATGTGAAAATAAATATTGGATCTGCATCAATTCTGTGCACACCTTCCCAATCCTGTAGACCACTTGCCACGGCTTCACAGACCTTGAGTGGCCCATGAGCCACAATTTGGGAACCACTGTTATAGGGCAATGGTAGGGAATTTCATTAGGACTGCTTTTTGAGTTTAGTTAGTTGTTCTTCCCCGCACCTTCGATGAGCATGGTTGGGTACTACGGTGCAAAAGAAGGTCAATATACATACATACAATGGGAATAAAAAATGCAGTGAATGAAGTGTTTTATTGATTTGTACATAAGTAGGCTTTGGTACGTACGGCAGTGAAGCGGTCGCAGTTGATGATGTGGAAAGTCTTGCCGTACATCGTGATGCTGGTCGCCACATTGAGGTCCTTCCAGTGCCAAGTGTGCCCCTCGTTGTTCTTAGGCATTTGCTGCCTCTTCATGAGCTTCCCCTGCGTGAGACCAGAGTTCTCCACCGGGGGCTCCATCACCACCATGCTGTCATCCTCCAGGTAATAGTATATGATGACCGGACGAATGAATCCGTCTTCGTCAGAATACTCGTCCGCATTCTGCTTGAAGTAGGCATCGAACCGCAGCACCTGGCGCAAGTAAAGCAAGGACATTTTTGCAACAGAATCCTGTTTTATTTGTGACAATATTTCAGTGTTTTATGTGTGCCAATATTTCGTATGCATTTTAAGTTTGCAGAATGCCTCTGTTTGTTCCAAGAACATCTGACTGAGGTGGATACATATTTGTCGACAGATTATAATGTTCATTGCAGCTTTTACAAATTGAACCAAAATGTTTTGTATTGCTTAACATTGTAAATTTAATTACAGTACAGTATTTGTACAAGGCAATTCGCTTGGCATAGTGTGCTCTACAATGTAGTTAGCAGAGGAGCCAGGTGCTCATTTGTAGATGTTCAACTTGTTTTAAATAGATTATTTAACCTTTCTTATCACACATAATTCGTATGTATATAGAACTTCATTCACACCGTACGCAGCCAACTGTGCTAATGGGAGGTGCCTCATAACAAGACACCGCGTACTGTAAGACTAACATTACTGCCCTAAATGTCTTGAGATTGGGGTGCATTTATATGTTGTATTGATCGAAATGACACCATGAGGACAAACGGCAAACATATCCAATAATTACAATGTTTCAGTCAAAGACCAGGACCAATTTATCATAGCAGTGCTGATCTGTAGAAGTACCATTGTCCAAAATCTTAGCGTGTTTCATATTTTCTGTATGTTTATTTAATAGGGGAGTGTTAATGATGGTTCGTCCTGATAGTCACTTGCACTTTATTTGACAATGTTCTTCGCATTGTCAACAGTTGAAAAAAAAACCTTCATGGCCTCTCAATATGTACAAGTGGATAGAACACTGGATACTGTGCTTACAGCTTTGTCAAAATGTCAAGTGGCTGCACTTGCCAACAACTTACGATTTTCAACAAGTTCTTGAAAACTTGTGACATTCAATGATGCCTGACACAGCAATGAAGCACCATGTATGATACCTGCTATTTTTAGGCATTCTTCGAAAAGGTTGTTGCAGAAATGCTCACCATTTTACTTTTTCTGTTGTAACAACAAAATTGCACCTGCAATCTTAAAACTAATACAGTAGTAGTACAAGAGTATTGAAAAGGCACATTCATCTGAACACAGTTCTTCTGAATTTTGATTTAAAGCTCCATTAGTGCCGGTGACTTACAAAACTTTTGTCTCAGTAAACCCTTTATTGTGAATTATCTAATAAGTATGTTAAACATTCAACTTTGAATCCTATACTTTGAATCCTAATACCTCTGCTCACAGTAAAAAATACACGTAATGCAATCAGTTTATAAGCCATCCATAAATGTTGTGATACTGTATCGTACATGACATAACATTAAATAAAATATAAACACTTTCTTGTAATTGTTTTTTTAGTCATGATTGTTTAAGAGGTTTTCTAGCTTTCTGGAAAATAATGTGAAGTGTCCGCAAATGGACGTACAAACTGACAGATAGACTTAACATTTCATGCTCATTGTAACAAACAGCTATCGCCTCCCCAGTGATGTAGCCTGGTTGGCATGGGCCCTGGTGCATTCAATTAAATGCAGCTCCTCTGTCCAATTTCCACACCCCTCTTCATAGCCTGGCCACTTTAGGCTGCCCGATCCGTGGGTCTCAGTGCAGTTTTATGTATCAGGCAAGGCCCACTGAGCTATATAGCTCTTTTTCAGAAGCGACATGGCCACAAATGATAGCTCAACGAAGTGGGGTTATCACGTGGAAATGTATAGCAGGTAAATACTCTAAACGTATTTTTATTCTAAATGTGGAGGGCAAAACCGGAGGACCAGGATAAAAATGCACGCGACCACGGGGAGGACATGTGCACCACCACCGCTCCTGCCATAAATAATGTATCACCAACCGCGCACCTTCTTGTCCCAGATGACGTGCGCAGGCACGAACGGCGGTGGTGGTGGCGTGCGGGGTGGCCCATAGGTAAGAAGGGCCTGCTGCGTGGCCATCTCCTCCAGCTCGGCCAAAGAGGGCTGCACTTGCGTCGGACCCCACTGCGGTGCCTCTGCGCCCACGCCAGCGCTCGCCACCCGTGGCTGCGCGTACCCATTTCTGTAGTCCAGCGTCTGCAGCCGATGGAATCTGGGCTTCTGCTCTCAGCAAACATCGTTCAAGGGTTACAGTACGTTTAAGGTTGTTGTTGCAATTTGGCTATGTGGAATCGTAATTCTGCTGTGATTATAAACAGCGTGAAAATCTCAGCTTATCATTGCACATAGCCGTTAAATTGAGTCCAACTTTATGATAAGTCAATGGACAATAGACCCCATATATGCACATGCACACTGCTGATTATGCTGATGGAAAGTCATTGGTAGCATTGGTATAGTACCTCCAATTAACACGATTGACTACGTACGGTGCGAAAGAAATTCAACATACGTAGTTCATGATATCTGGATTGCTGGCTCTCCCTCTGCTTGAAGATCTTGCTCAAGACCGGTCTTTTCTCTTCTGCCTACGATTCCCTACAATAGTAATTGGATTTTTTTTACTATTGTTTTTTGTCTGTTTTAACATTTCTCTATGTATACTCTTTGGTTCTGACTTTACCGAAAGAACCAAAGAGTGTGGATTCCTGCAGACACGAAAGCTTCAAATCAAGATGACTTTATTTAATTGTAACTCTCATTGCACTTAAGGTAAATTTAATCAGAATTCCTTTCTGTCAGGCATCTTTCGATATTTTTTGTTTACATTTGAACACTATACAAATCAAACGTTTAATTGTATGGATTTCCACCCCTGGCTCAAGAACACAAAGAGACAGATACAATACGAAACAGGATTTCTCCACAAATCTGGCTGTCGCCTGATGAAGCTAGTTGTAATTACTAGTGAAACGTCGCACTCAAATTGTAAATGTTGTGGGTTTACTCTCCAACACACCGGTGTGCTGTACTAGTAACGAATTGGCACGTTTTGTTTACATGACAAACCTTACTAATTAGCTGGTCGGGTGGTGGCGGGTTTAACGACACATTTATATTTAGGCGATCTACCTGAAAAAAGAAAATTCTTATAGAGACAAATAAATACTGATCCACTCTCGTTGAAACACTGGAATACACCCTCTGCCTTAAATTTAAAACACAGACAATTATGTCCGCCTCACTATGCATTTATGCATGGCGTAATTATCAAGAGACGTTAGTAAATCCCGTAAAATGCTTTTGTTAAACTTTTATCAAGTCACGCACACGGTGCAATTGAAAATAACTCGCAACAAGAGGGCAAACACACAAACAACAACAACGAGGAGCCAACGTGGAAACAATAAACACAAGAGTGGAAGCGAGTGATACAAGCAGACAAACGAGGAGATGTAAGGCACAAATGAGAGTACACACAAGAGGGAGACACAACAGGGAGGGTTACCATGGTTGGCTACGTACGGTGCGAAAGATGTTCAACGTACATGCGTACAACAGGGGACGTAAGACATGCAGGAGAACGCATGAAAGACGGAGACATGATCTACACAAGAGACAGAAAAGGGATCACAATACGCAAACAATGAGACGTAAGAGGAGATATCGGAGGTAGAAACAACACGTACTTAGTGTGAAGAGACACGAGAAAGACACGCACACTGCGAAGGAGACGAAAGCACACGCACAGGAGACGTAACAAATAAAACTTTTAAAAGGGGGAGACGCATGTGGATTCACAAGGGCGGATGGGGTGGTGGGGGGGGTGCGTGCGAGCCCCCCACGGAGTTGGAGTCTCACTCACGGCAGGGTCCCTGAAGGAATTCCCGGGCAAAAATGGCAGCTCCGGCGTGGACAGAGACATCTTCTTCAGTCTGACGACAACAACAACAACAAGCAAACTGAATCAATGGTCACACGGAGAGAGAGAGAGAGACTCTCACGGCTACAGCAACAGCAGCCTCCCCTGTCTGTGTCTCTGTGTCACTGCTGCTCCCACCACCCGTGTTTGTTACCGCGGGTCCGGGCCGCTGGGCTCGCAATGGGCCCAGCTCGGCTGTGGCGGCTGTCACGGCTGCGCGTCCCTGCGTCTCCACGGCGACGGTTGCCAGGCGACGGTTGCTAGGCGACAGTCTCACGTCAACAGGCGGTGGTGCCGCCACGTGCGGGCTGCTTGCTCCGCCTGTTTAGCCGGAAACATTGTTACATTTTGATTTACAGGTCCTTGCAGGGTGGGCTGGTAGGAACATTGGAATTTTGCGCAATTTTATGACATTGTTACGTAAAATTAAAATGAGATAATGTGACTTCCAAATGTTGGGTGCAATAAGACATCAAGTCTCTGCGCTGTCTATTGCTGATTTTACACCCAACAGAACGAGATTTCACTTCGTAAAGTATTGAAAGGGGACGGACGGACGGACACATTAATCTATTGCAGGCTGGTACACTCAGTTTACAACTTCGTTCCTACCAGTAATAAAAGCTTTCGTGACTGCAGCATAATTCATATTCTTAGCTTTTTCGGTAAAGTCACGTTGAAGGGAAAACAATAAAGTAATAAAATATATATAAAACAATACAAATTCTCACGACGTTTCGACCATAACAAACGGTTGTCATCAGGTGTGACGACCGAAACGTCGTGAGAATTTTTATTGTTTTATATATATATTTATTATTTTATTGTTTCCCTTCAACGTGACTTTACCGAAAGAGCTAAGAATACGGAACATTATTGTTTTTTGGGGGGGCAAGTGCTGTTGGCGAGCACCAATGAAGGCCAGCACTGCACACGACGCCGGGATTGGTTAATTCCATAGTTTCATTTATTAGGTATAGCCCTGTGAGCCATTCGGCTCTTGAATCGGGTTGCAACCGCAACAAACAAAAACATGAACAAGAAAACATCTTAAAGTGATTATGGTGTAGTCAACAACAAGCACGCCCGGCCGCCTTTGTCTCCCTTGTGGCGATGTTGACACATCGCGCCAGGCACTCGTTTTTGAGGTTGATTCGACGTGGGGAAGGGGCCGTCCATAATTGACGTCACACGATTTTTTACAACCCCCCCCTTGTCACATGGCGTCACAAAAAGTCAGACCCCCCCTCAAATATGACGTCACAAAGCCCTGCACTCTGATGTAGGAGAAAACATTTATTAAAAAGTGTATTTACTTAAGTAGAACGTGATTTAAAGCTTTCGTGACTGCAGGGATTCATATTCTTGGTTCTTTCGATTAAGTCACGTAGAAGGGAAACAATAAAATAATAAAACAATAAAATTCTCACGACGTTTCGACTGCAACACAAGCAAACATCATCATTGTTTTATATGTGTATTATTTTATTGTTTCCCTTCTACGTGACTTTACCGAAAGAACAAAGAATATAAGTAGAACGTGTTGTCTATATTTATATTTATTTAAAGTTGCGCATTTTGATGTGACGTGATGTCACAGCAAAAACCACAGCAAGAAAATTTGAAAAAAAGCGCCACTTTTGTAGTGGCGGTTTTTTTCAAATTTTTTCACAATACTGTTCAAAACTATGAATACAAAAATACAATAACCGTTAAACACTGGGAATTAAAAAAAAATACTTTACACAATTTTTTTTAAAAACTAAACTTTTTAGAGAATACAAAATACCATTAAAAACTGAGGTACTTTTTTGTTATGTACAAAAACCCGTTGAACACTGAGAATTAAAAAAAGTTAAATAACAAACACATTTACACAAACCCACGCATACATTAACACTTTAACTTAAAAAGTGGGACACATTTAAAATGTATGACAAATGTGTAACAAATACTGTCCTAAATAACTTTATCTTAGAGGTCGATCTTAACACTGCTGCTACCGGTCTTCGCAAGTCCACTCAGATATATTTGTTTTTGCTGTTTCAAAGGGCCCCGCCACGGTCTTTGTATAGTCACACCGCACATAACCTACCGCAATCCCGCAAAATGGATTTAAATCTGGCGGCTTCCCCGGCTGTCCTGGGAACAATGTAACCCTGGATGCCCCGTCGTCTGTTTTAAACAAATAAAGTGATTAATCCCGCAAGGGGGGGGGTCGTCTGTCTCAGAGCTTCGGCCTCTTGTGTTGGAAACGCGGTGGTTAAATCGACTTTAATTTGGTTTTAAAAGACCTGGAAGAGTTATAAATTAACCGGTTCCCATTGAAAGTCTCTCAGCCCATAGATGTGTATAGGTAAGGGCCACCCTGTCTTAGATTATTTGGCCATATGTTCAGGAGATATATGTTAATGTCGAGGTCTGCTCGCCACGACGAGATGACTTCATTTGAGAGTTCGTGCAGTTTTGCTGATCCCCCGTTGAGGACTACAGTGATATACTATATGGCCCATAATTTGTGTCGTATGGTCACAATAGCACGCTCTGCTCAATAAGAGTCTTGCAGTATAACATAATACTAATTATTCATTAGCGTCGTTGTGGTCCATTTATTATTCATAAACAGACAATACGCCACCTTCACATATGAACTGTCCCTCCACATACATGTTTACACATCCTATCAGTCACAATTGGCGTACGTTGATTTTCTACTCATTTATATTCTCCACAACGACCCGAATCATCATTTACTGTTATACAAAGATCCCCTTAAGAGTGCTGTTGGCGAGCACCTGTAAGGTGAACACGGCACACAAGGGGTAGTGGTGTGGCCAGGACCACGCACTACGCACAGTCACCTTTGTATCCTATTGATGTTTACACGCCGGATTTAATAAATGCTGAATCAAACATCTTGGCATGGAAATCCGAGGGTTGCGTCACGGCAGAGCGGAACAACGAACGTAGACATTAAGAATAAAAACCTCACTGGAGACTCAAAACAGCATCGCACACCTCCTGGCATTGACAGTCCTCCTCTAAGACTCTGGTTTAACAACCATCAACCCCATCAGGACATCAACATACCGATGCTCAACATCTCCTTCACAAATGTAAAATCTGAATGTTTATTTAAATAAATATAAAGCAAAGACAAGCCACAGTTGTGCGATTGTAGCCATGGAACCCAACCTATGGACCATATAGTAAGCCACTGTAGTCTGTGATAATTCAACGTAGGAGGAAGAACAACACTACATGAATTATCTCATGAAACCCACTCGTTCTGGCTTGAACAGGGCCGTCCGTGGAGGGGTGAGCGGCCTGGGGCAAATGTGTGGCCCCCCCCCCCCCCCCCCCGAAACCTTCAAACTAAACTGAACATCTTCTCTGGTTCTTTCGATAAAGTCACGTAGAATGAGAATAAAATAATAAAATAACACATTAAAATTCTCACGACGTTTCGGCCACAACGCAAGCGGCCGTCTTCCATTGAAGCTCTGTCGTCCCGACAGTTCTGTACCTTTCACCTGAAGACGGCCGCTTGCGTTGTGGCCGAAACGTCGTGAGAATTTTATTGTGTTATTTTATTATTTTATTCTCATTCTACGTGACTTTACCGAAAGAACCAAAGAAGATGAATCCTTGCAGTCACGAAAGCTTCAAATCGAAATTAAACTGAACATCTGACACTGTGACGTCGAAGCGCCTGTCCCTCCCCCCCCCCAAAGCGCGGGGCCCGGGGCAGTGGCCCCGATTCCCCGTACACTAGGGACGCCTCTGGCTTCAGAACTCGACATTGGCATCGAGCTTCTAAATCTAGTGCCGTCACCATCACACGCACGGATAGAACAGAGCTGCAGGTGGCGCACGTGAGAGCGGTGGGGGCAGTGTTCTTCATCACTGGCGGCTCCTGGTGGCCTTTAGTGCGGCCCCCGACAATACACAAATGCGTAAACGTCCCTTTGCAGGCAGCATGGCGGGCCTAACGCTGATGTCTTATCGACGGAACAACGTGGACATTAATTTCTCTTTGGAAATTAGTGAATAACACTGGGTTGGAGCATTCGCTTCCTGACGGGGGGTGGGGGGGGGGGGTGCGACCTGAGCGCTGACCCCCATAAGAGAGAGAGACAGTTTCAGTTTCATTTATTTGGTATAGCCCTGTGAGCCATTTGGCTCTTGAATCGAGTGCAACCGCAACAAAAAAACATGAACGAGAAAACATCTTAAAGTGACTACAGTGAGGGAAAAAAGTATTTGACCCCCTGTTGATTTTGTACGTTTGCCCACTGACAAAGAAATGATAAGTCTATAATTTTAATGGTAGGTTTATTTGAACAGTGAGAGACAGAATAACAACAACAAAATCCAGAAAAACGCATGTCAAAAATGTTATAAATTGATTTGCATTTTAATGAGGGAAATAAGTATTTGACCCCTCTGCAAAACATGACTTAGTACTTGGTGACAAAACCCTTGTTGGCAATCACAGAGGTCAGACGTTTCTTGTAGTTGGCCACCAGGTTTGCACACATCTCAGGAGGGATTTTGTCCCACTCCTCTTTGCAGATCTTCTCCAAGTCATTAAGGTTTCGAGGCTGACGTTTGGCAACTCGAACCTTCAGCTCCCTCCTGTTATATATGTGGGTTATGAAAATTTGATGAAAATAATTAAAATTAAATGAAATTTGAAATTTGAATAATTTATCCGAAATTATGTTATGCTAATTCGAGAGATAATTGCATAAATGTTTGCGAGTGGGTGTGGTTATGTTAATGACACCCTTTATGACAATTAGGCCCTGCCTCGCTGGCGAGGTCGTATTGCCAATCGGGATAATGCAACTAATCGTATACAGTTATGCTAGCGAGTATGCCAGAGTAAACTCGACTTCGCTGTTTAACTTCGTATTATCGATCAGTATATGCATAATTCAGGAAAGAAACACAACACTTCCGTATTAATCAATGTTATTTTCTAACTAGACTTTAACTCTAAAAGATGCAACTCTCGGCTTGGAATTTGCACAGCGATTCGCCCCGTTCCTGCATTCAGTTTTTTTATTATTTCCGTCATTCTGTGTGTATGCTTATCACAATATCACCCAACTTCCAATATCCTGGGTTAAGGGGTATGCTTCTTGACCCTGTGAATTCGTATTACTTGCAAAGTTATATAACGGAACATAGTCCACGGTGAACAGCGTTAACATTAATGTTATGTATGAAATTGTGTATTGCAATTTTCTTTAACTTAAAACCTGCTCGCCTGGCTTTGCTGCCAATTACTTGTCTGCCCGTGGTTGCGGGGTGGGGTGGGGAGACCCCCACTGAGTCCCGCTCTGGTGTGAGATTCCTTTCTCTCTCGCGCTGCGGGAGAGACAAAGACGGTCGGGAGTTTCTCGCTCTCTGACTGCTTTTGGTTTAACCCTTGTCACTATCATTTTTGGTTTATGTTTCCCGAGCTTATTCCTATACGGTCAGATTATTCTGCTCGCTTTCCATTAATTAAAATAATTGAATGCTGTCTGTCTGGTTTTTCGCCGTCTTCGACGCTGCTGAGATATTCGTTCCTGCCCCCTTATCCCTTTGATCTCGGAGGGTGTTTCTCATTGAGTCCCGCGTATCCGCTGTGCAGATGGCCCCTTGCGATAGGGTGTAATTCCTGTTTCCCCGCGCTGCGGGAGAGACAAAGGCGGTCGGGGTTGCTTGGGATATTGTTTAACTCGTTTCGTAAATTTTCCCGTTCGCCTCATTCCTTCTCGAAAACCCTTGATGTGACTCGGTATTTCTGTCCTCAAGCTTGTGATTTAACAGTAAAAGTATTAAAGGTAAAAATCATAGATATAGAATTAATAGTTGGGTAATAATTCACTGATGTAGATTATGGCCTGGCTTTAATTGGAGTGGGTGTGATGATTGATAATGTTAGCTTATTTTTGTTGTGGAATTTTGAACTTTAACCGTGGTTTAATAGCAAAATACGAGGCAAATTGTCTAACTTGTGGAGCCACTCTGTCTGCGGCTGACAAAAGGGGGGCGAGGTTGGGGCTTGGAATCGGAACTCCCCCCTTGGTGACCCCAACCCAGTGGCACCTCAAACAGTTTGCCCATCAGGAGATCTCCCAGATAACCACCACCCTTCCTTCGCCTCGGGAGTTTTTATTATTTGTTTATTTATAATTGTCCTCTTTACAATCTACATCTGTTTTTTTCTCAGAGAGTCTGGTTTGTGTTGCATTCATTATTCCAGTTACAAAAAAAATATCAGTAAATATTATTAATATTAATTTTGAAAAAGGCTCATATCCAACACTCCACAGATTTTCTATGGGATTAAGGTCTGGAGACTGGTTAGGCCACTCCAGGACCTTAATGTGCTTCTTCTTGAGCCACTCCTTTGTTGCCTTGGCCGTGTGTTTTGGGTCATTGTCATGCTGGAATACCCATCCATGATCCATTTTCAATGCCCTGGCTGAGGGAAGGAGGTTCTCACCCAAGATTTGACGGTACATGGCCCCGTCCATCTTCCCTTTCATGCAGTGAAGTTGTCCTGTCCCCTTAGCAGAAAAACACCCCCAAAGCATAATGTTTCCACCTCCATGTTTGACGGTGGGGATGGTGTTCTTGGGGTCATAGGCAGCATTCCTCCTCCAAACACGGCGAGTTGAGTTGATGCCAAAGAACTCCATTTTGGTCTCATCTGACCACAACACTTTCTCCCAGTTATCCTCTGAATCATTCAGATGTTCATTGGCAAACTTGAGAGGGCATGTTTGTGCTTTCTTGAGCAGGGGGACCTTGCGGGCGCTGCAGGATTTCAGTCCTTCACGGCGTAGTGTGTTACCAATTGTTTCTTGGTGACTATGGTCCCAGCTGCCTTGAGATCATTGACAATATCCTCCCGTGTAGTTCTGGGCTGATTCCTCATCGTTCTCATGATCATTGCAACTCCACGAGGTGAAATCTTGCATGGAGCTCCAGGCCGAGGGAGATTGACAGTTCTTTTGTGTTTCTTCCATTTGCGAATAATCGCACCAACTGTTGTCACCTTCTCACCAAGCTGCTTGGCAATGGTCTTGTAGCCCATTCCAGCCTTGTGTAGGTCTACAATCTTGTCCCTGAAATCCTTTGAGGGCTCTTTGGTCTTGGCCATGGTGGAGAGTTTGGAATCTGATTGATTGATTGCTTCTGTGGACAGGTGTCTTTTATACAGGTAACAAGCTGAGATTAGGAGCACTCCCTTTAACAGTGTGCTCCTAATCTCAGCTCGTTACCTGTATAAAAGACACCTGGGAGCCAGAAATCTTTCTGATTGAGAGGGGGTCAAATACTTATTTCTCTCATTAAAATGCAAATCAATTTATAACATTTTTGACATGCGTTTTTCTGTATTTTTTTGTTATTGTCTCTCAAATAAACCTACCATTAAAATTATAGACTGATAATTTCCTTGTCAGTGGGCAAACGTACAAAATCAGCAGGGGATCAAATACTTTTTTCCCTCACTGTATGTGACTGTGCAAACAGAAAATCCAGGAAAAGCAGCAAAATATTCCTGAAAAAGCACCGTACACCAACGCTGTGCAAAAATCCCAGTGGGATGCAAGTCAAACAACAACCACAAGACAACTAAGATTAAGGTCATCAGTCTAACTCCGTACTACAACAAACAAACATGGCCAAACAAAAAATTGTTTTCCACATCACCAAAATAAAGCCATACTGCTCTGGTGGAGTACAAAGCACAAAAACAATGACAAAAAACGATATGCATTATTAACACAGTGGCCTTAAAAGGAAAATGTTCTAGGTCAGGTGACGTTTCGGGCAACGGCCCCACGTCATTTCATAGCGGATATAGGTTCTATGAAGAAGGACCATTGCCTGAAACGTCGCCAATTGCATACAATATTACTTTTTGTTAAGGCCACACACACCCAGGGTGGTTATTGACGACTGCGTGCGCGATGACGTTACGCGGCAACGTCACCGCTTGACGTTTCCGAACGTCATGACGTCTGTCGGCGGCAAATGCCGTCGAAAACAGATAGAACTTCTATTTTTCGATTTAAAGCTTTCGTGACTGCAGGGATTCATATTCTTGGTTCTTTCGGTAAAGTCACGTAGAAGGGAGAGAAAAAATAATACAATAATTATTTTAAAATAAAAAAATATATTTTATAATACAATAATAAATTAATAATTGCGTTACTTTATTATTTCCCTTCGACGTGACTTTACCGAAAGGACCCAGAAGATGGAACTTCTTCTCAAGGCGCCGGTTACGCAGAGACGCCACGCGCAACTGCGCGATGACGTCATCGGGGCAAAGCGTCATCGCGACGAGTTGGCGTCATTCTCCCCACCCCGCCGGCGGCGGCTGCCATTGCTCTGCGATTTAAAGGTCCTCGTTTGGCGTCGCTGTTAGACACCACCAAAAACAACGGCACCAAGAGCACGCGATGCGGGATAGCGTCGACAAGATGGACTTCAACAGACTGATTTCTGAAGCCTCTAAAAACAAAGAGTCCGTCCGCACCGAGGTATGTTTATGGGGACCCCCGTCGTCCGTTCCCCCACCTGCCCCGTCGCTCGCCTCCCACCAGATTCTGCGGAGGTTTCAGGCGAGGCGCGGGGTCCGACCGCTCGCACCGGGCCTCGTCGTTTAACATCGGATTTTTTTTGTGGCTCTTACCCGCGTCAGACTGAGAAATTTAATAGTTTTTGAAGCGCCCAAGTCAGCAAATAAACTTACATTTTTATTTCATTTTTAATACCTTTTTAGGGTGCCACAGTGGCGAGATGTTAAATACCTTGACGGGTATACAGAAGGATGTTTCGACCCCGACCCAAACGCCCTGTATATTTGGAGTTTGCGTGTCTTTCTCCCCCTGTTGACGTGGATTTTTCTTGCGGATCCTCCCGTTTTTTTACTCCACATTTTAAAAAACATGCGTTTAGAGTATTTGCCTGCTATACATTTCCATGTGATAAGCCACTTCGTTGAGCTGTCTTTGTGGCCAGGTCGCTTCTGCAAAAATATCTAAATAGCTCGGTGGGCCTTACCTGGTGAAATCAAATAGTATAGACACGGTGGCGTGTCTATACTGGTGCACCGCGCTATGAACATCCGCCCGAGTTAATTTACCGTCCACGGCAAACATCAGTGGCGAGTGATAGATGGACCGTACCTGTCCCTCCCCATTCACCAATTGAGACTGACCAACGTGGTTGAATACGGTTCAACCACCCCCGTGACCAGGGGGTCGGCAGCCTACGGCTCCGGAGCCGCACGCGGCTGTTTAAGGATTGCTTCGTGACGTTATTTATGAACAATTCCAATGTATAATGCGCATTCCATCCACGGATCCGAATGCGCAATGCATGAAAAGCAAGAAACTAAACAGAACCAGGGCAACAGACCAAACCAAAGAGGGAAGGCTCAGTTTAAAGAGATGGGGTTTTCAAAGCAGGCATATATCTACCTACTCTGCCTGATTTAAAGTGGAAAGGCGTTCCATAGTTTGGGTGCCACGCTGACAAAAGCACGCTCACCAAAAGAGCGCAACTTACACCTGGGATGACCGTCTCGTGGTCACATTAATTGCGGCTCTTGAAATTTTGATTTTTTTTTACCGAATTCGAAAGGAAATGGCTTCTCTGGTTATTTTGGTTGCCGACCCCTGCCCGTGACCAGCACCGCGTGGGGTGAGGCCCTCATCCAGCAGTGGAGTTACAGTACAGCAAATTGTTTCACGTGACCTTTTGGATAACTCGCGGGAACACAAGCCTCATTAAATCAGATTTTTTTCAAATACTCAAGAATATGATCTCTTACACAACCAAGCTATGCTTCGCTGGCTGCAGACATCTGTATTAAGCTTCGTTGAAAAGAACAAAAACTTTTGAATCGCGATCACGCCCTGAATCACTTTATTAAACATATGGTAGTGATGTCATTCCACGTCAACTAACAACGCCATGATATGATTTTGTGTCTCCTTTTCCGCTAAAATGTTTGTTTTACGAGTGGAATGAAACTAGGAGAATCCCTACAGGCGAGAACAGTGAAACTGCTAAATAAATAGTCGGTTTAACAAAAAACAACTTGCTGTTCTACCTACTACAGCCCCTCCCATTAGTCAGCAGGATGTCTCGCTATATCCATTTCATTATGAACCACCACCCCGACCACCAAGTTCTACTGAAGTTTCGGCTATGACCCAGGAAACAGTGGGCTGTCGGCATGGACCACATGCAGTTATTGTCCACAGGAGGTCATGGATGTATGGTTTGCCCACTTAGTCGCCATAAGCTCTGGTCTTATTACTGCTGGATGAAACCTTTCCATGCCATAATCATCCCTTATGAGCCCGTGATGCCAGTCCATCTCACTCCTGCACATGAATCTGTCCATTTCGATCATATCAGGCATTCTGTCCTTTGGTCGGCATACCGTTGTCCCTTCTAGCGATCTGTCCACATCAGCAGGGTTGGCATAAAGAGTTAAATTTCTAGGTTTGAATTTTTTTTTTAATGTGTGGTTTACACTGGTTGATGTCAGTCAAAAAGCAGTAAAACATATACCTTCCGTCAAGTAAAAAAAACATTCTCTATGGAGCATTTTTCAGTAGACGTGGCACTCGAGGCAGCTTACTATTGCTTTATGCATTTCTTTTAAGATCATCTCGCTTAAAAGTCAATATTAAGGGCTGTTAATGGCTTCAACCTGTGTACTTGTGTGAAAGGGTGGCAGTCATGAGCAAATCTCTTCTGGCATGTACTTTGCAAAAAAAATATGATATATGCGTCGAATTTATACTGAGGCTCAAATACTGTTAGGATGTCTGGGGATGTTTGTAAATTTTATTCAAAGTACATTTAATTCTATCACTACACCACCCCTTCTTCCTCACCACGTAATTTTGCAAACCTATGGCCAAAGCTTGTGATTAATTTCTAGAAACACGCTTGGAATATTGAGCACATTATAAGAGGAAGGCTTCCTGCCTTAATGATCTTAATCACCGTTACGTAAAATTTAGTTTTTTTGTGCATTTCAACAAAAACACGGAAGCAGTTCTGCTGTCTGTATTAGAAATTGGCCCCGAAAAAGGTGACAACAGTGATTTTTTTTCCCCACTGCATTTGCCAGCAGATTGTTCCCCCGTTGCCATTTGGTTTGGACATTTGCAACAGACGCTACAATGGCAAGCTGCTCCTGCGGTGCCACGTGTGCTGAAAATTGCACTGTAGGGATTTAAAAAATGCTATGGAACATGTCTCAATGTATATTCGGATTGTACAGTAGTCCCTTGGTTTACGATGCCATCGATTTATGATGTTTCGGTTAACGATCCGCATCCTATTGGGTCCCATTGTTTCTATTAATGATACCTTTTCGGTTAACGATATGTTTATGCTATCACGCGACCGCCAAATTCGGCCAATCGGAGCGCTCCTAAGTGGACTCAGCAGACCTCAGCCAATCATCGACGCCCTTCTGTAAGCGGTTTGAGAGCAACTGGCTCGCTTTTCAACTTCTCCATTTACCCCTTAAGCCATCCCATCTTCTTAGCCTAAGGTTATTTTTGTTAATTTTGTGCTCTATGCACATTTGTACGCTCCGTTTATTCAATGTTTATCCGTGTTTCTATTAAAAATAATGCTTTCATGTTCTTAGGGGCCGTCCATAAATGACGTCACGCGATTTTGGACGATTTTTTACCCCCCCTCCTCGTCACACGGCGTCACAAAAAGTCAGACCCCCCCTCAAATATGACGTCACAAAGCTCTGCCCCCCCCCCCCCCCCCCCCCCAAAATATAAAACATGCTTCAAATCGCTTTAAACTATTGTCATTGTAGTGCGTATTTAATGTGGCGCTGCACTCTGATGTTGTAGGAGAAAACATTAGAAATTATATTTAATTTAGTAGAACGTGTTTATATTTATTTAAAGTTGTGCATTTTGATGTCACGTCACATTTCTCAAACCCCCCCCTGGTCACACATCGTCACAAATGTCTGACCCCCCCCCCCCCAGGTGCATGACGTCATTTATGGACGGCCCCTTATAACGTTTATTTATTAAAATTGCGTATTTAAGTCTTAACTTTGTTTTTAAGGTGAAAAAGGTCTGCTTCCGATCATGTTGGAACAAATTAAGCCTTTAACATGTATATCCTACATTCGATTAACGATCATTTTAATTAACGATGGTTTTCGTGGAACCAATTAATATCGTTAACCGAGGGACCACTGTACACGCAGCAGAGAGCTACACAGCACAATCGGAAAAATCCACACAATAATCAAAGATTTGTTATCAGACGTCTCTTGACCAAAACCTAATCCTTCACTTAAAATGTAACCTATGTAACCTATTGTTCATTAGTCCAACATTTAGTCTTAACTAACCTAACCCCATTACTCAACCATATAGTTAACTGAAGTGTGAGTGACAACCCAAAATAATATGGGCTTAATCTTCTTTTACTATCGTAACACTTTCATCTGCTGATCTGTAACAATAATAATGATTTAATGGTCATGGTAAACATAGATTTATATTGAACTAGCAGGAAGTACCCGGCGTTGCCCGGGTCAAAAAAATATTTAAAACATACTCTTAAAAATCTAACAGCAGTGCATACTGACTGTGGTGGTACCTGCTATGATTACAGTAGTGCATACCGACTGTGGTGCTACCTGCTATCACTACAGTAGTACATGCTGACTCTATAGCAGTATTTATCGACTCCATAGCACAAAGTACTCACCTGACAGTGGCGTGGTGAGGCCTAGTCCCGTGCAGAGCCTCCGGCCTCGCCTAGATTGGTGTCGCGGCATCGCTTCAAAGAAGTGAGCGACTCGCTCAGATGAGCCCTCTTGTCTCGGAGTCTGTTAAAAGATGTAATGGTTGTGTGGAAACCCTCCCCATAGAGGCACTTTAAGTCTAGATTTAACCGCATCTACAGGGAGGGTTTCCACTCAACCATTAGATCTTTGAACAGACTCAGACAAGAGGGGTCATGTGATCGAGTCGCTCACTTCTCTGAATAAATGCCGCGACACCAAGGTAATACCGATCGCCTTATTTTTGTTTGCATTCTGACCACAAGTATTGTGGTTAATACAGACATATTAGCCGAGGTATTCTTGGCTCTACGATCTTGCATTTACTTGCAAATTCCATCTCTAGCCCCGCCCACTTCAAGCATATATAACCTTTGGCTGCAGGAGTTCTCTCGCTATATTTCTTCTTGCCTCAGCAGTCCGCCTGCTGTATTTGTTCACCTGAGGACGATTGCTTGTGTTGCGATCGAAACGTCGTGATGTTTTTATCATTTTATTATTTTTCTATCTACGTGACTTTACCGAAAGAACCGAAGAATAAAGTTACACTAATCTAATCTAATCCTATTATAACGTTATCAACGGATGTCAATACTATTACCTGTGTTTGCATTATTCTGCTATGGTGTCTTTATGTAGTTATCTGTTCTGACAACATACATTAAGCTGTGGCTACCCTTTGTTTCGTATAAAGTAGTTTAAAAATGAAAAATGGGTCGTTTACATGTTAAGTGGGGCATTGCCAAACTGCAGCAGCTGCACCTACTTGAATGACCAGAAGGGTTTGCATGCCTTGGATGCTTTGAGCGTTGCATAATCGGTTCCAGAACACTTTTAGCTAAAATGAGCATTGACCGGGGCTTGCCTCCTGTTTAAAAAAAAATCCCTATTGCCATGGCCAATATCTATATTTAACGCTTTTGTACGAAGATAGCTTTCCTTATACAAAATTACGGTGTCTCCTTTCACAGTTTTTGTTTTTCCAACATTTGTTGAGCATATTTTTGACGTATCTATAAATTCATTTATTGCCGCTATAGAATCACATTGTGATGCATTGCCTCCAATAGTGTTCTAGCAATCTGAGGAACATGTGCATGCAAAGGGGTAATTGTATCATGCCTAGTGGGGTCTCGTGGTTAAGACGCCATACCAACATCAAGTTGACCCAGGTACAAATCTTGGCCTCTATCAGCATCGGCGGTACACAAGTTTAACCTGGGCCTCCCATAAGACATTTCGGCCTTCATTGAGATCTGCTGTTATATGTGAAAATCGGCACTGGGAAGATAAACATGCTGGCCACATTTCCCTCTTGTGTGCCATTTCAGCCTTACAATAAAAACAATACTCGTGTAATTTACAAAGCTCCCTACAGACAGGTTCACGAACCGACTTGATGTACTCCCATTGCCTGGCCACATTCCCATTCAACATGTTTGAGAGTTTCACAAGTCTATTATCGGGCCGACGCTTATCTCCAAACTGTTGGATTGCAAGCTTGTGCAATCTTAGTAGGTGCTCTCCTCAAGCTTCCCCCCCTGCACTGTATGAAACTAAACATGGCATCTGTGTGTGTTTGTTTGTGTGAGAAGAAGAGGTATAGCCTGGCTGTGGGCCCCCCAAAGAGAGACCCCAAAGTGAAGGGGGTGCAGTCTGCAGCTGTGCAGGCCTTTCTCCGTCGAAGAGAGGAGGACGAACGTAAAAAAGGTGAGTGTACCAGACAATTGTTACTGAAATACATGGGTAAATTTTCCAGTAGATGGCACCAAGGTTGGAGAATGTGACTCACGATTTGGAAGGGTATGAGTTACAATGCTGGTCAGGGGTTGACTCCATCCCTTCGTCTTTGCAGGATCAATGAAATGAGTTTACTTGTGAGAAGCCAACAGTGGTTGTCATGGATAAACTGGCTTTTTCCATGAGATTGTGGAATTCCTATAGCCAACTCAGGCTCACCAATGGAAGTGAGGGGACCATTCGTGCACATTTAAATGGGGAGATAACTTTCACTCTATTAATTATGCATGATGCAATACATTTTTTTTTTTTCAAAACAAATCAAGCACGCATTCTTACGTTATGAAAATTATGTTTGTATGGTAGGTGTAAGTAGCCTTTGTTTACATTGACCCTTTAATATATTTAAGATTGTTGGGAACACACGGAAATGACAGTTGTCTTGCAGTGCAGACCAAAAAGTCAGTCTACCACGATTGCATTTGCACAAAGTGGTCCTCATTTTAATCACCTCCGAGGGGTGAAGGGGCTGGGTCAGATACCTGACTGGTATTTGAGCACACAATCTTACAATTCCGATGAATGCACTTCAACCATATCAAATTATATGGAAGTTCCCAGTACAGTTTAGTGCAGAATGTATAAATGATTAGCCCTCTTGACAATCCACTGCTGGATGAATGTCTTCCCACCCCGTGTGGGCCATGGGAGTTATTTCACTATACTTGACCACACTGGCCAGAAGACGAGGAGCATAGTATAGTATAACAATGGATTTTACTGCTCTGCTCTTGGCCTACATTGTATCCACTCAGCAGCCTATAACACCTGCTTTATTCTCGGTGGTCATACATCCATGCACTATCCAGGTTAATCCTGGTTAGCTTCCTAAATCAACATAACTATAAGTAAAAAAACATCCCAAAACTAAGCAACAGAGTAATAATTATAGATGGTGCCACATTAACATAGTGCATTTACATGTTTAAAGTTTTTCTAGTAAACTTGGTTATTCTGTGTAAATAAGTTTTATATATATATGGTGTTTTGATTTAAAGCTTACGTGACTGCAGTAATTCATATTCTTAGCTCTTTCGGTAAAATCACGTTGAAGGGAAACAATAAAATAGTGAAAATATAAATAAATAATAAAATATTAATTGCTTTGTTGTATATTATATATTTTATTATGATATTTTATTATTTTATTGCTTCCCTTCAACGTGACTTTACCGAAAGAGCTAAGAATATATATGGTGTTATTATTTATATTAATGCTGCCATGGAACTAACTCGTTTGTGCGCCCAGCCGTGGAGGATGAGAAGCGTAAGGCGGAGCTGCTGGCTAAGCGCAACGAGCTTAAGACCACGCGCAAGGCCCGGGCGATGGCATCACGAACCAAGGACAACTTCCATGGTTACAACGGCATCCCCGTCATCGAGAAAGAAAAGCCCACTCGACAGCAGCGGGAAGGGGAGCAGCACCAGAAGAACAAAGATCGCGAAACGCACTGCGCTAACGACTCGAGTGACAGCGACAGACGCAACGTGCACATCAAGCACTCAGTGCAGGAATCGGCCACCACCCCCATCCCTGCCAAGCGACCGCGATATGACTCCGGCGCACCAGCACGGAGCCAGGAACGGGTACCGGGGGGTGCGGAAACGTCCAGGGATAAGACGAAAAAGGTGGCGAAGGCGCAGTCTAAGGCGGCGCCGTCGTCATCACTGAGCTTCATGGAGCTCCTGAAGTTGGCGGAGAAGAAGCAGCATGAGCCCGTGCCGCTTGTACCGAAGGCGCCGCCTGTCAAGAAGGAGGTCGATATCAACGGACTCACACAGCTGGAGGTCCGGCAGCGGGAGTATCTGGAGACTGTCCTCAAAAAGAGGGAAAAGGGACAGCCTAGTGACAAGAAAGAAACCAAAGAGGACAGCAGGGATGGCAGGGACGGCAAAGAGGGCAGGGACGGCAAAGATGGCAGGGATGGTAGGGACACCAGGGATGGCAGGGATGGTAGGGACACCAGGGATGGTAGGGACGGTAGGGACATCAGGAACGGTAGGGACATCAGGAACGGTAGGGACACCAGGGACGGTAGGGACACCAGGGACGGTAGAGACACCAGGGACGGTAGAGACACCAGGGACGGTAGAGACACCAGGGACGGTAGAGACACCAGGGACGGTAGGGACACCAGGGACGGTAGGGACACCAGGGACGGTAGGGACACCAGGGACGGTAGGGACACCAGGGACGGTAGGGACACCAGGGACGGTAGGGACACCAGGGACGGTAGGGACACCAGGGACGGTAGAGACACCAGGGACGGTAGGGACACCAGGGACGACAGGAACGGCAGGGATGGTAGGGACAGCAGTGGCAGAGAGGGCAGCCGGGGGCATGCCTCTGCAGGGAAACCTGCACCAGAGGGTAAGGCTGTCGTGCCAGTAAGACTTAATGGCTCTTCATCTGCTGGTGCCAAGGTGAGCCGGCCCTCGTCATCATCGTCACCATCGTTGGCATCATCAGCAAGCCTTAAAGGGCCCAGCAAACCTGTGATTGTGAAGCAGACATCAGAAAAAGAGAGCGGGATTTTAGGTCTGTCCAAGCAGAGCAATGATCAGGAACCGCGTTCCAAGAGCCAACAACTACCCAGAATTTTGAGTAAACCTCCCCATGGCAGCAGTAAGCCCGTCAACAATCCGTCAGCAAGACCGGGTGTTGAGCGCCAGGGAATAAAGCCGGGATCCAGTCATGGACAACCGGGGTCCAGCCAGGGACCACTGAGGCCTGCCCAGGGAACAATGAGGCCTACCCAGGGACCAACGAGGCCTTCCCAGGGACTACCGAGGCCTGCCCAGGGACCCAGAAAAGCAGACGGTGCGGCTCAGGCACCAAAGCAGGCAGAGCCACGGAAGTTCGATACTGGGCCCAGGCTGGGAGTGCGGCTATCTGGGCCCCACGAGGGCTCGGGAGGAGTTGTAGGGAGCCAGCCACGGTGCACCGTGGTGTCGGAGACCGTGTCCACCAGAGACTTGGCGCAGAAGCAGCAGGAGAGAGCGGCTGCGCTGGCGGGCCGGAGCCTCTCGCGGGGGCCACAGCAAGGCGCGACCATGCCCTCGAGAGGGCCACCGCCAGGAGGGCCGATGGGCAGGAAGCCTGGGCCACCCATGGCCTATCGAGGTGAGCTCCCCAGCAACATTGTTATGCTAGTTACGTGTTTTGAGGCCGAGCTGTGGATTCAAGGGTTGATGGCAGAGACGAGCAGTGTCTAAGTGATGTAATTTAAATGTGTAATTTCATTTCCTTTGTAATTGTTAGTTACATTTCACACCTCAAAGTAATTGGCCGTTTGTATTTAAATTATACTGGATATGGTTGATTGATCATTTGTCTACTCTATATTATTCCAGTGTAATTTAAATGGCTTTTCCCATCTCTGATTCATAGGTTGTCGATTTTTGACTTGCTGGGCCAGCAGGTTTGGTAATTACTGATGGCCAGGAGTCAGCTGATAAGCTTTGAACTAATTTGTTTAGGACCTTCAAGTGTTCCCACTTATGCTCTTGATACCCTGGAGGAAAATGATTTTCTCCCTATGCAAAGGACTCATTAAAGAACATTGTCCAAACATCAAAATGGAAATGCAAGACCCTCGTGAAAAATAGTGTGCGCATGGGGTGGTTCTGACCTCTACCGGTGGCCCTGACGCAGTAGTATATATCCCACCTTCCTATGGCAGAGCCAGTATATCTGAATGGAAACTACTTCTGACAAAGCGATACACATTTGTATTAACATCATGAGGATAATAGGTTAGACAAAATTGGAACTCGTAACCTTGAGATCGTCAATCGAGCGTTGTAACTATTGAGTCATGGTGTGGGGAATCCTCATCCAGCAGTGGATTAAAATGCTCATTCCATGTCGATTGTGGTAGTAAACATGCGTACGTTTGCTGGTCGGTGCGGATTGGGGAGAGTGGAGAGCACGGTGCAGTACTCCATTATTTTGGTTCAGTGCCACCCACGTAGGTCCGCAGCAGTCTATAACACCTGTTTTGTGCATGGCAGTAGCAGATCCAAGCGCTATCCGGGCTCAAGTTTGCTTACCTCGCCTGGTATACAGGAGGTCATGGGTTCGATCCCGACCCTGATGCTTGTATATTTGGAGTTTGCGGTGTCTCTCTCGCCGTCGTCGCGCTGGTTTTATCTCCGGATTCTCCAGTTTTTCCGTCCACATTTTAGAAAAGTGCATTTTAGAGCATTTGGCTGCTATACATTCGCACATAATAAGCCACTTTGTTGAGTTATCATTTGTGGCCAGTTCACTTCTGAAAAAGGGCTATATAGCTCAGTGGGCCTTACCTGTTAAAATTTGTTTTTAGTTTATTCCTGGTGATTTGACCACAAGCGTGTGTGAATGTATTTCATTAGGGCCCCCTCCTGGGATGGCACCCCCTCATCGGCGGCGGATTGAGGATGACGAGGAGGAGGAGGAATATGACTCAGAGATGGACGACTTCATCGACGACGAAGACGTGCCTCAGGACGACATCTCGCGACATATCAAGGAGATCTTTGGCTATGACCGCAGAAAGTGGGTGTACGCACACACTTAAGAAAAAAAGCCAACTGCTATGATCTAACGATTATTTGCAATACATACCATAAGATTTTTGTGGTGCTTATGTCAGGCGATATATTGCAGTTTTTTCAGATCATTAAAACCCTTGTTTGTGCATGTTTATTTTGTGTGTTTGTATGTATGCGTGTGGTTTTGTATATTTGTATGTTGGAAGCGGTCGTCTAGTGGTTAGAGTGCTGTGCTATGAACTCTGATCCGGGTTCAATTCCCACTCACAGCCAACATTGGTGACGAAAATCTGAACATGTCCTGGGCCCCCCCCCTGATGTTGACTGGGCCTCAAATTAGTACCTGTTGCAGTGTTTACACCGGCACCTGGGAGACGGAAGGCAGCAGTGTTTGGTGCTGGCTCTATGCAATGCAATTGCTGCTGCAGGTGGGGCAATTTGCTTCTGAGGCTTTGGGGAAAAAGAGCTTTGCTTGCATGTCATGTTAGGAGAGAGACCCCTAACTGATGATGGGCTGATGATTTAAACTTCATCGTAGAACGTCCTCGAGGATCCCCCTACGCCTTTACCTGCTGGCCATGTGGCATTTGGTGACGTTTTGTGTCACGTGCCACAGGTGGGCGGGAGCCCCACGGATAAACAGAGTTCGGCAAATTCTGCTAAATATCTGGGGTTATTCGTGGTCACACCTTCAGAATAAATGAGTGATTCCCCAGTTGGGACCCCAGATATGTGTAACTGGGGTACCCATGCCCCCTGTTTACCCTGAAATAAGTGGAGTTTGTATGCATGTCCATGTGTGTAAGTGTTTGTCTTTTCAATCTGTTCTATTACGTGTGTTTTCATAACGCAAATTGGATATTGTGCGATTGAGTGTACAGAATTACGTCGTGAGACTAGGAATAAGCAGTTGTGCAGCTGCCTTGGCGTAGCATCACACAAGGTGGTATACTGCTGGTTGCTACCCATGCGCCTCAGTCTTTGTTCAGCCTTATATGCATCTCATGTGTTATCGCGAACTCTGCTTTACCCTATATTACTATAACGCTATTTTTCCAGAACTTGGTCTTGTTCAGGAACGCAACCACCGCTTTATAGGAGAACAGACTATCTGTGAGCTGTATTGCCACCCGGCGGTTCTCGGTGGCGAGATGTTAACTCCCTCGCCTGGTGTGCAGGAGGTCGTGGGATTCATCCCGCCTCTGACACCTGTTGTATATTTGGAGTTTGCATATTTTTCCTGTGGTTGCATGGATTTTTCTCCTGGTGCTCCCGTTTTTCCCTCCACATTTAGAATCAACATGCGTTTACAATATTTGGCCGCTATATATTTCCACGTGATAAGCCACTTCGTTGCGCTATCATTTGTGGCCATATGGGCCTTACCTCATAAAAAAAATTTCTAGTTTAGTTTTTAAACTATCTGGGTTTATTTCCTGTGTCTCTTTCCCGCTTGCGGTGAAGGTACAAGTATGAGAGCGACTCCGTACTGCGCTCCATGGAGACGAGCTGGAAAGAACAGCAGAAGGAGGAGGCGAGAAGGTACCCCCAACCCCCCACACAGGCGGCTTATTGCCATATACAGTGAGGGAAAAAAGTATTTGATCCCCTGCTGATTTTGTACGTTTGCCCACTGACAAAGAAATGATGTCTATAATTTTAATGGTAGGTTTATTTGAACAGTGAGAGACAGAATAACAACAACAAAATCCAGAAAAACGCATGTTAAAAATGTTATCAATTGATTTGCATTTTAATGAGGGAAATAAGTATTTGACCCCCTCTCAATCAGAAAGATCTCTGCTCCCAGGTGTCTTTTATATAGGTAACGAGCTGAGATTAGGAGCACACTCTTAAAGGGAGTGCTCCTAATCTCAGCTTGTTACCTGTATAAGAGACACCTGTCCACAGAAGCAATCAATAAATCATATTCCAAACTCTCCACCATGGCTAAAACCAAAGAGCTCTCCAAAGATGTCAGGGACAAGATTGTAGACCTACACAAGGCTGGAATGGGCTACAAGACCATTGCCAAGCAGCTTGATGAGAAGGTGACAACAGTTGGTGCGATTATTCGCAAATGGAAGAAACACAAAAGAACTGTCAATCTCCCTCGGCCTGGGGCTCCATGCAAGATCTCACCTCGTGGAGTTGCATTGATCATGAGAACGGTGAGGAATCGGCCCAGAACTACACGGGAGGATCTTGTCAATGATCTCAAGGCAGCTGGGACAATAGTCACCAAGAAAACAATTGGTAACACTACGCCATGAAGGACCGAAATCTTGCAGCGCCTGCAAGGTCCCCCTGCTCAAGAAAGCACATTACATGCCCGTCTGAAGTTTGCCAATGAACATCTGAATGATTCATAGGACAACTGGGTGAAAGTGGTGTGGTCAGATGAGAGCAAAATGGAGCTCTTTGGCATCAACTCAACTCGCCGTGTTTCGAGGAGGAGGAATGCTGCCTATGACCCCAAGAACACCATCCCCACCGTCAAACATGGAGGTGGAAACATTATGCTTTGGGGATGTTTTTCTGCTAAGGGGACAGGACAACTTAACCGCATCAAAGGGAAGATGGACGGGGGCATGTACCGTCAAATCTTGGGTGAGAACCTCCTTCCCTCAGCCAGGGCATTGAAAATGGGTCGTGGATGGGTATTCCAGCATGGCAATGACCCAAAACACACGGCCAAGGCAACAAAGGAGTGGCTCAAGAAGAAGCACATTAAGGTCCTGGAGTGGCCTAGCCAGTCTCCAGACCTTAATCCAGGGGTGGGCAAATTTGTTGACTTGCGGGCCACAATGGGTTCTAAAATTTGACAGAGGGGCAGGTCAAAGTGCGCCATCTAATGGGGAAATGGGGGCATTACAGGAGAAAGGTAAAATTTAATTTAATAATAATATTTGGACAAGTTCGGCGGGCCGGATTAAAAAGCCCAACGGGCCGTATACGGCCCAGTGGCTGTACTTTGCCCATGTCTGCCTTAATCCCATAGAAAATCTGTGGAGGGAGCTGAAGGTTCGAGTTGCCAAACGTGAGCTTCAACCTTAATGGCATGGAGAAGATCTGCGGAGTGGGACAAAATCCCTCCTGAGATGTGTGCAAACCTAGTGGCCAACTACAAGAAACGTCTGACCTCTGTGATTGCCAACAAGGGTTTTGCCACCAAGTACTAAGTCATGTTTTGCAGAGGGGTCAAATACTTATGTCCCTCATTAAAATTCAAATCAATTTATAACATTTTTGACATGCGTTTTTCTGGATTTTGTTGTTCTTTTTCTCACTGTTCAAATAAACCTACCATTAAAATTATAGACTGATCATTTCTTTGTCAGTGGGCAAACGTACAAAATCAGCAGGGGATCAAATACTTTTTCCCTCACTGTACGTGGAGGCCGGGGGAAACAGTAGCTCCACGTAGAGCCAGAGTCGGGTGGAGCAGTGGTTCAGTGGTTAGCATACCACGCCATGAAGCCTGAGTTCAATTCCCGGCTGCAGTTAATATCAGTGGCGAGTGATATTTGAACCGGTCCTGTACACCCCCACCTTCAACCTGCACTGTCCAATGATATGACGTTGGGTCAAACAACCCCCATGACTGACATGGTGTGTGGAGGTCTTCATCCAGCAGTGGATTCCCTAAGGGCATTGAATTGAAAGTTAGTGCCTCCCTGTGCAAATGATCATTATGGCAGTGCTCGTGGCAATTTCTAGCCTTTAACCAGTGTTGGAAATTCCACCAATCTCTCCGTAGGGGGACCTCTGTCTTCTCACAATCTGGTGGTTATTTTATTAAACCTGTAGGGGAAGATAGGCAGATTTGGCCCCGACTAGGATTTAAATTTGTAAACTATCAACCTTTAGGTAAAATCTAAAATTTGTTATTATACCTGTATTACTATTATCTGACTAGATGACACTGAATGTTAAGTGCTGGGAATCGCAAACATTATTTCTTAATCCCATGGTGGCATGCCGACTCATGCTGTTCTCCCTCCCCCCCCCCCCCCCCCCGCTCTACGTGTATGTAGCTTGAGGCTGGGAGTCATGGAAGATCAGGAAGATATCAAGAAGGAGGAGGAGGAAGAGAAGAGGAGGAAAATGCTTAAAGATTTGAAAAACAAAAAGTTTAAATGAAGGACACGAGAAGTTTTGTAAACAAAAGTCCAAATGCAAATACTGCCCTTCCATGCAAAACACGGTACCTGCAAAATCGTCACGAAGTTTGCCGGGCGCCGTGGTGTTCTCAGGCTTTGGAGGGACGTGTGGCATGAACCTTCTATGCAGACTGCAGCATGATGCGATGTGTGGCGAAGCTCACCTTTGTCGAAGCCATTGACGTGTTGGTTGAGTTTTGTGGGTCGGTGAGTCCTGATGACGTTACGCACAAGATGCCCACTTGCCTGCCCAGGGCGTTGAGGTCCCACTAGAATGCAACTGGAATAGTTTCCAGTTGGCGCTCTGTACAGCAGTGGAGTTGTATTCTCTCGTGCACCTGTTTTTTTCCCAGTAAGTCTAGCTTCATACCAGATGCAAAAGAGCCCAAAAACTCAAAAGGGTATTGGGTCTTATGCCCAAACAGGATCTCCCTGACAAATTCTTAACTTGGAGAGGCTTTCCTGCACAAATAAATTCGAGCTAGAATAAACAGAGACTCAAACAAATCTAAGACTACATTAGTCGGTGAGCTCAATATATGTTCCTGTTTTTTTTCTTCCTGCAACCAAAATAACCGTAAATTCGCCCAATCTTTCGTGTAAGTAGGGTTGAGCTTGATTAATGCGTGGGTGATCCCTAGGGCCTGCCACGTTGTAGATTGTGGGGCTGCGTGGGGGCTAGGAGATGGCAGTGCTTAGTCTCTCCCCCTTGTATGCTTGGTGGATTTTCTCCTGGGTATTCTGGTTTCCTCCCACATGCCAAACGTTCATTCATGGAATTGGCCAAATGACCCAATGCCATACCCTCCTAAAAAATAATACTGAGACTCATTGAAATATTTGGTGGATAAATGTCATCAAATACAGAGCAATAAAAGCGTGTCTTGCTTAACGAGCGAGACACCTTCCGAAAATTGTGGGTGGCCAGCACCACGCCCACTCACCTTTGTCTCCCTCGTGGCGATGTGTTTACACACTATCAGGTACTCATTTGAGGTTGAATCGACCTAAGGGAGGCCCAGGACCAGTTCAGCTAATTGTCACTGGTGTTGGCCGTAAGCGCGAGTCAAACTGCTCGCTGGGTTTGTCGCGTCGGCGCGCTTACCGTTACACCGCCACTCCTCTCCCGCCATCCACCCATTACATAGCCACCACGAGGCCCCTTCTCCCCAACACAGAACACAAGGAGCACAGTCCAGCTGATAAACAAATAGCTGCGGGCCACGGTGCGTGCGCCCCCTGCCACCATGTGACGCATATTTATCGATTGGTCTCTCACTTGATAAGTGCACATTTTGCTCGTTTTGCGAACAAATGGATCTAAATTCAAATTGCTCGTAGCTAATTTTGAAAGAAAGAACGCTCGTTGAACCAGACACCATCCCTGCGTGTTCTGGCACACTCCAACTACATCCTTGTTTCTCAAGCACCCTCAGTATGGTTAATCAAGAGTCTATTATTATTCAGTAATTTAATTACCTCTAATGGCAGTGGCATCGGTTACATTAATTCCTATGTAACAATCGTGCATCAGCACGACTCGGACCCAGATCAGATATTTCATTGGAAGTGGAAAAATGCAGTTGTGTTATGAAGGTCTGTAACGTATATTATACTGGGATGTGTTGGCCAGTGAATGTTTTTATTTGTTCTCTTCTGCTGGCCATGTAAAGAGATTGGGAGTGAAGTTTCAGTACTTCCAAGTGGTAGAAATGTTTTATTTAGTCCCATGGATGTTACTGTGAAGTCTGGTTTATCCTTGGGCGAGGTCAATGTGTGATTCATCTGTGTACAAGTCCCTTAATCATCACCTGTTCCAAATAGAGTTTCAGTTTGTATCAAACTGGTTAAGTGGTGAAATCGTCAGTGGAATAAGCACCACACCCGTGTGTGTCTGTGTGTGAACGTGCTGTGCTGGCATTGTGACAGCGACGGATGGTTTGTGGTGTCTGGCAACACGGATTGCCCGAACCCAACTTCGTGTCAGTCTGGGCATGTAACGGTTTCTTACAAACATGCAAGTAAGAATATTTAGATTTTTGTAAAGGATATGCATCTTGAACGTTTCGGCTAGTTTTACAAACGGGACACTAAAAACACGACAGAAGAAACGGGACAAAATAGTTGTTTCTTGGATCGCATTCATCATGCCTTTTTGTTTGAGGATTTTGAATAGTTACGTTCCAGTCAGTGGAGCTGTGAGAGAGCAGAACCTTGGAGTTTGTGGCATTAACCCAAACTTACATGTGGTGATTTTTCTTTCCCGAAACAAGGATTGTCACTGCTTTGAACTCGCGATGTGCTCTCATTTCCGTAGGAAGTGCTGTTTCTAGCCTAGACAGTTATTGGGCAGTGAACGATGTGATGACCATTTCCTTTGTCGCTTCCTGTAACTTCACTTCCCGATGGAATGAGGCCATGATTATGGTTGAGTTATCGAATTAGAATTTAAGTCATGTACTTATCTGATGGCTGCTGTCAAGGTCTCTGCTTTATTGCGTCATCTGCACTTTCAATGGTAACAACACGGTGCTGCGCATTTCCGACGGTAGCAACCGAGCTGTGGACTTGATGATAATCACTCAACCATAATGTTATTAATATCAACACGTGGACCAGTCTCTATAAGTGGAGACCGCTGCTGCATAAGATGATCGACCAAGTGCCTAAAGCTCTTTCTGTGTAGGTTTTGCTATTATTTAACCCGCTATCGCCTAAAGCCAAAGCTCTGGATGTCTTTAGCACGAGCTGCTGTACACAGGGCATCTCGATAGTGTCTTAATTTCAGTAGAACTGCATAGGCGTGACAGCGACTGACTTGCCTTGCTACCATATAGCATACATCTATAGCGAGACTAGCTTGTCTTTAAAGGGTAATACAGCAATTTTGTTGCTTAGGGGTTGTGTTTTCCCTTTATATGTGTCGAGTTTCTCCGTGCATTGCTTTTTCTGGGGGGCTTTTTCCTACTGGAAGTAGAATTACTCAAAAAAAGGAATTGGCCAAACCATCTCAAATTGAGACCCTCTCAAAACGGAGTCTTGAAACTCCGTGTGGCCTTCAAAATTAATTAAAACTGCTACAAAATAATTTGTATACCACCACCCCCTTTCTGTTGTGTAATGGAACTTATACAATGCAATTATCTTGTCAAGCTGATGTAAATAGGAAGCTTCTTTGATGGGAAGTAGTTTAGAGCCGTGTGTGATCCCTGAAAGCCACGATGAACTTGGGCGACACAGAGGGCAATCGTCACCAGCAATGGTTGCTAAGCCAGTTTCGGCTTTAGAAGTTTTAGTTCCCCAACTCGGTACCAGTTGTATTGAACTGTTTCCCCAACTGAGCAACTAGGTTGACAACTTCCAATCGTATCACACACAGGCAAGTCACATGACCGAGGCTGTGTGCTCTGTAAACAAATTATTCATTAAACCCAATTTGCAACCAACACTTTTCACTGGCTAAACAAGGCTTGCCAGTGCCAAACTATGTTGCCATAGTTGCTTGTGTTGGATGTGGTGCTGGTAGCACTTTTGCTATTCATGGCTGTAATGTCGTGGCCATCAGGCTTCAACGCAGTAGCAACTTGGACAAGTTCTGGAGTCGTGAGACAAGGAAGGTAAACGAGCAAAAGATTATTCTCAATTGATAAGAATTGGTGGATATGGCCGGATTTCCCCCTCTGACACCAAAGACTGCAGTCATTCGCTGTGTTCACGTACCTAGAAAGGGAAGCTTCTTTTAAGATTCTACTTTACAAAAATAAGAGTTGAGTGATTATGTTTACTTGAGACAGAGTTAAGTGATTTACAAAGTAGCATTAAGTGACTGGTTGGTGCCGTGTGTCCTGGTTTATTCAAAAGCGCAAGTTCATGTCCTGGTTTGTGCTCGGCTCATAATCATCTGTTTGGGGCTGAAAACATTTGTACCACTTTGTTGAAAGTCAAGAGTGGTCATCCAAGGAAGAGAGTGGGCCCCCATCCTGGCACTGTGGAATTTCCACCAATGTCTCCGAGCCCCCGAGTGGAGATGAGCACTACCGTCTGCTTAGTTGAGCAGGCAAATGCGTTGAGTCTTTGACTTAAGATGATGCAATGAGATGTGCTTTGTGCTGTGATGGATGATTAGAAATAATCTGCCAGCCAGTCGTGTCCCCATCTAAAAAGTGACATTGTGTTGGGGTGAGTGGGTGCAATGCTTGCAATGCTATGCTGCTTGAAATAAATGCATATGCCGCCACATTTATTTATTTTATCGTAAAACGAAAGAGTAAATATATTGTACAGTACAATTGAGCATATTTTGTGCCTGTGTGCGCTTGCAGTCTGTGTGGTTTGTCGGGAAAGAGCTTCATGCATGATGCGGTTTCACCACATTGGTTTTCTCCATACCACTCGGTCATCAACCTTTTGAATTAGACAAATTATTTGGGGATGCTGCTGCTGCGTTGCCAGTGGTGAACAAGCACAATTAACATACAAAAACTAAACACATTCGTCAATAACACTGCCTGAAAAGAAAACAAAATCGGTAACGTTTCGGGCAATGGCCCTTCATAACACACCTCTCTTCAGGTCGTTGAAAACCTCTGGTGGAAGTCAACAGCGGTTTTCCTCTGAAGAGCCGAGCCACTTTAATCAATGTATAATTTCTACCATGAGCTTATGACGCCGCTAGTTTCGCACTTCTGGTTAGCACGGTTGACTACGTACGGTGGGAAAGAAGTTCAGCATAGATTCAGACACCAACATGACATTCCGCATGACTTGTGGTTTGTCCGAGCAGGTGCAGTTCAATCTATAGGGAATGCGTGTCTAGCCGAGGCTGTGCAAATTCCCGATGCGTTAAAATTACGAAAATGTTCTTTACATTGAAACTAAATACGGTTAGATTGTTAGGGTTTGTATTACAATTACCAGTATTGCACTGAAAACAAAGTCCGTAATATTTTTTGTACAGAAATTGATTTGGTGAATTAAAGTGAAAAACACGAACTTTGATCTATGACAATTTGAAATGAATGAATGTTGATTCACGTGAAATTTGCCGTTTGTCAACTTTCTTTGTGCAATAGCCAAGTTGGCAGAGCCAAAGTATCGATTTGGCCGTTTCATCATGCCAGACATCGGTGGAAACGTCCTTTCTGCCAACTGTCACTGAAAATGCCTCGGTCAATGCTTAGTTGAGCCCCTTCATGCATGGGTTGATGCAGCACGTGCACATTCGTTCCCATTACTTTGAAGCAATTCGCTTGGCGTTCGTGTGTGCTTGCATAAACATTATGAAAGGCGGGTAATGAAACCCATCACTGAATACAAATCACGTTTTGTAGGATAAATATATTCACATGTAAATAAACTGATTAACACAGAAAGAGCTGTTTCACCGCCCAAACAAATAAAGTTACCGTTTAAGTCCATCCGTCAAGAGTTCTAAAAGAAAATCACTACTTTCGGACCTGAATGGGTTTTTTTTGTTTAGTTTTGGGTGGGGGAAATACGAGCGCTTCTGTTTATTCGCTTGTTTTTATTACCCACGGTCGTCCACCAACAGTATAATATCAACAGCATAATCCACGTGAACCCACGGTCGTGCTTTGGGATGGCAACCGTGACCAGACAAATCTATTCACACTGCAGAGACAAGAGCACAGCACTCGACTCGGCAGATATGGGCGACTTTGGTTGCCGAATATACGATGGAAAACGTGTCGAGAATACAGAATGTTGCAATGATTGGGGACACGTGCAGGATGGAGGAGGGCAGGTTACACACTGCGGAGGCAATAGCACAGCACTCGACTTGGCAGATATGGACGACTGGGTGCTTAAATATACGACGGAAAACGTAGTGTATAGAATACAGAATGTTGCGGTGGGGGTAGGGCGAGTGCAGGATGGAGAACGTGACTTTACCGAAAAAACTAAGAATAAGAGCAGGTGAATGAGCGAGTTTACCAGTGGAGTGCCTCTTGAAGTGAGCATGTCGCGTTAAGTACAGAGGGTGCTCTCTTGCCTCTCCGCCCAATAGTACAATTATACATTGGCTGAAGAATTGCGCATGACCGCTGAGATTCTTCCATTTTAGAAAGAAACTTAAATGCATTTTTCCTATATGTTCGATAAACTTAGATGTATTTTTGTGTGCGTGTTTCTTTAAAATAGATTTTCCTGAACGGCTATCTGAACCACTGTCGTACGGCCCTATATAAATGTAAATAATGCGATTTTTTTGTTAGTTATGCAGCATATACGTGGGGCGGCAACAAGTGCCCACCACATTAAATAACAAGCCGTCCCAACAACTTTACACGGCTAGGTGTATTCATTCTTAACGTTTTGTGCGCAGCATATTCCTGCTTGTTAGGGCCCGGCTATGGCCGTGAGTACCCTCATCAATCTCGGCGGCGACGGCGGCGTCAGTGCCCTCCTCGTCGCAGTCACCGCAACTTCTTGAGCTTGCGCATTGCCTCCGCGCGCACGGCCAGGCTCTTGGCGCACGTGGCCAGGCCGATGAGGAGCAGGCCGACGAGCAGGGTGAGAAACGGCCAGAAAACGCAGTGGAAAACGACCGCCCGGGTGTCGTCTCGATCCAGGATGACATCGTCTGGCCTGGGGAGGTGGGGGTGTGGGTAGAGAATCAGAATCTTTATTTAGAGACTGGGAGGAATCCGATGAGCTTGGACGCTCTTTTTGTTCACAGATGAGCGGATCTGTAAGTTACAATTCCAACAGAGAGGGTGGAAGCGAGATGGAGAGATGAGTTTACGTGCATGAGCGACATTGGTGGTAGCAGCATTGATCCGTGAGAATGGGGACGGCATTGGGAGACCATTATTAGATGACGATGGCTGTTGTATCGAAACGATGGCTGCTGGGCCACTCAAATACTGTCAGGAAATTAATGGGTTTCCATAGCCGACAAGACCAATCCTGCCTGCAGATAATTTCCACAATTATTTTAAATGTACAAATATCTTACGTGGAAAACGCTCTCCCTGCTACCATCTTTTCGGCCTCCCTGTTTTCCACACTTTTCCACAGTCTCCACTTATTTCCCATTCTCTCTACAGGAATGGGATGAGTCTTGCTTTGCAGCGTCTCCATAGATCATGGCTCACGGTGAGCATGGGAGGCAAAATAAGCGCCACGTGCGGCGTGGAAACGCGCTTCGTACCGTAAGTGGCGGACGGCGTGCGTCCCAGTGTTCGGAGCTCGGGATGCTGATGATCACGAATTAACTCATTCATCCCGGGAGGAAGGATGGGGGGGGGGGGATTTGCAGGTTCTCATCATCCTCACCTGAGCTGCCCGTCGAAGTAGCAGGGGAAGGAGGCGGAGAGCTCCAGACTGCGCAGCCACCGCACTGCCCAGCCGCTCACGTTGCGCGCGTTCTCGGAGGGGTCCCGGTGGCACGAGGCCGGCACGTAGGAGCACTGCGGAGCGCCGCGAAGAGAGGGATCACGACGACGACGAGGAGGAGGAGGCAGGGAGAGGAGGCATCGTGCCGTGTGCGTTATCTCTCTCGGTGTGGGGAGCGGTACGGTGGCGAAGGGTAGTGCGCTGAATTCCCTAAACCGCCGGCCCGATTTTTTTATTCCACCGGTGACGATTTACTGAACCGGTTATGGGTCTCCCCTAGGTCGAGTCCGCCTCAAATGAGTACGTGGTGCGACATGTAAAAATTTCCACGAGGGAGACAAAGGCGGCCGGGCGTGGTGCTGGCCACCCACCCCCTCGTGTACCGTTCCGGTCTTCATAGGTGCTCGTTAACAGCACTTGCCCCCTACAGTCTTTCCGTGTGTGTCTTTGTCTCAGTGTCTGCGTGTTTGTTCATCTCTGTGACTGTGTTTCTGTATCTGTGTAAGTCTCTGTATCGTTACCTTGTGTGTCTCTATCACTGCGTGTATCACCGTGTATGTGTCTGTGTATCTCTGTGTGATCTCTGTGTCTATGTACATGTGTGTGTTTTACTGTCTGCGTCTCTGTGATGCCGTGTATCTGTGTCTCAGTTTGTCTGTGTCCACGTGTCTGGGTCCTTATGTCTGTTTCTCTATAACTTTATCTCAGTCTGTCTCTCTGTGTCTCTATGTCTCCCTGTATTTTTGTGTCTGTAGTCTTTGTCTCTCTACAGTTTATTTGTCTCTGTCTGGATGTATCTATCTGTTTAGCTTTTGTTTATGCGCGTGTATGTCTATATATCTCCGTGTTGCTGGGTCTGTCTATCGCCGAGGTAACAGTTGTTGATTCATTCTGGCTTGTTCCCTCTTGTCTGTCACCTCACTTTAAATAAAGGCAACTTGTCTACCCACCTACCTACCATGTATCCGCCCATCTACTTATAAAATAACCCACCCACCTATCTACCCAGTCACCCACTCACGTCTCCAATCCACCTACCAACCTGTCCACTCACCCATCCATCCATCCACCTGTCCACGCACCTATCCATCCGCCTACCTGCCCAGTCACCTATCCACCATACCTGTCCAACGACCCACCCATTCGCCCACCTATCCACCTCTCCACCCACTCATCACACCCACCCACCCACCTTGTCCACCGGCACGCACCCTGGGGTTGAGCGAGAGCTGCAGCAGGTCCTGGTGGAGCAGCGCGACCCTGCCGGGGGAGTGAGCGAGGCGCGCGAACACGCGCACGCACGGGTACCGGGAGTCACCGCGACACGCGGGGCCGCACGAGAAGAAGCACGGCTCCCCGGCGGGTCCCGCCGCGCCGCCGTCTCCGGCGTCCACCCTCGCCACGGAGCAGTTGTCCTCCCGGCTGCGGGCCCGCCGCTGCAGCGCGGGGCGCATCCAGCACAAGGCGAGCGTGGAGAAGGAGGCGAAGGCGAAGAGGACGAGGACCACGCCGAGGCGGATGGCGCGGTCCTCACCCTCCGACGCGAACGTGGGGGCGCCGCGCGCGTGTCGCCCCATCGGCCGAGTAATAGACTGGCGGTGATGGTGGTCGAAGGTTGGGTTCGGAAGTCGATTGTTCTAATTCGACCGATAGATCGTTCGGTCACGGTACTCGATTACCTGTGTGATCAGTCAACCGCGCGTTCGTTCGCTTAGTCGCCGATTCGTTCACCCACTCACTCGCCCAGCACTCTCCCGCCACTCACCCACCCACCTACTCACTCGAGCACTCACTATCGCACCCACTCACCCACCCACCTACTCACTCGAGCACTCACTATCGCACCCACTCACCCACCTACTCACTCGTCGACGCGATCAACCTACTTACTCGACCACCGACTCACTCAGCCACGTGCTCATTTACTCACAGACCGTAATCATAACCTCACTCACTCGGCCACTCATTCGCTCATGCATTCACCTGCTCACGCATCTACTCAGTCACTCGCTCACTCGACCAGTGCACCACTCACGTCCATCCACTCACCTAGTCACCAAACTAATACTCAGTATTGAGAACAAACTCCCCCAAAAAATAACAATACTCAACCTAAACATGTAAACGTTGGAAATGAATAGGCGAAAAATATAAACCAACAAAGCATTCGGCAAAATGTTACATAAATGCACTTAGCCGAGATGTCAGGCTGAGCTCTCGAATTATGCCAACTGGAGATTTAGACCATGCTGGCTGATGCTGTTAAGAGATTTGTTGGGAGATTGCAGCGATGATGATTGCGTGTTGGAGATTTAATGCATTCGAGGGGTGATTTAAATGCTTCCTGATCTGACATAAGGAGAGTGAGTGGGACAACCATTTATTTGTATATTTTTATTACTAGATTTTGTTGCAGTAGATTGACCCTGATGCGTGCTCACGTTTAAAAAAATCAGCTTGCTTCATGTTACCAGAAAAAATGTATAGACATCTAAAGTGCGTGCAGAAATAATGTGAAAAGTCCAGAAATATCTCGAGCAAAATCATAGCCCAGTAAATCCATAAGGATCTGAAAAAAGAAACCCGTACTTACCAACCAAAGGTGGCTCTCAGTGCCTTACAAATGTCTCTACAGCTAAAGCATCATTCGCGGAGAGGACAGCGACTGTCTGGTGATGATGAAGCGACGTGAGCTGTGACCTCTGAGTGATTTGAGGGGTGAGACAGAGAGTTCTTCAAGGGCGAAATCCCCTGGACAGCATTGATAATGAACTTCGTACAATCCACTCCACGGAGAGCACGTAGAAATATAATTGTGGCTTAATGGAGAATTCGGCGTTGGTTGATCTTGGTGGTGTAAGGTTTATGTAATGCGGTTGGTGGACCTCGTTGGTTGGTGTTGTAGGGTTCATATTGTGGTTATTTGCTTGGCTCCAACTTGACGGTTGAGGTTTTTCAGTTGATGTCGTGTTAGTTGATACTTCGTCATTGATGTTACGTGGTTGGTGTTATAGGATTGGTTCCACTCCTGAGACCCCGAAGCTTCTAGATCCGCCTATGGTTAGCTCGGCGTGGTTTGTGCTCGAGGATGGGTTTTGCGTAGCCGTCATCGCCATGTGTGCCACGGTGGTGAGATGTTGACTACTACTACTTCGCCTGGTATACAGGAGGTTGTGGGTTCGATCTCGACCCTGACGCCTGCTGTATATTTGGATTTTGCATGTTCTCCCTGTAGTCGTGTGGATTTTTCTCCGGGTCCTCCGGTTTTTCCCTCCACATTTATAATCAACATCGTGCGTTAAGAGTATTTGGCTGCTATACATCTCCACGTGATCAGCCGCCTTCGTTGAGTTCTCATTTTGTGGCCAGGTCGACTTCTGAAAAAAAAAGATTTAGCTCGGTGGGCTTTACCTGGTTAAGATAAAAAAAAATAGTTTTAGCTTTTACTTCGCGGCGAATGTTGGGTGTCGTTTTGCGTAGAGGGTGCACCCTGGGGATGTTTGTGCTACTTGGTCGGCCAGCCTGGGAATTGAGCGGCAGGATTAGAGCATCAGCCAAATGTCTCACAATAGCCATGATCCGCGTGATGCCTGGCCCACGACGAAGGGATTAACTCCAAAGCCACATTCTGGCTCACCTCACATCCTTGAGCCGGATTAATATACCCAGGGGGACACAGGCATAGAAATATACACACGGACATGTTATCTATCCAACACACATGTACATAACATGTACTGAGACTCACCAACTCTCACACAACAACAGCCGACATTTGCTACAAAGTGGCGGTGACCTCACCACGGCGCCTGTGCCAGGCCAGGTGCACTTTGAGGCCACGTGAAGTGTCGAAGGCTCGCTGACAGGAGGTCACGGGACAGACACAGGTGCCATAGGTTGACTTATTGAGATGACTGGCAGATGCACCATTTGTGCCCCCTACTGTCACCTTGCATCTAATCCAACCCGCGCTCTGCTCGTTGTTGGAGGGCGACTGCCTCTGACTATTAGCGTCCTTCACGAGCCTCCTTCATAGAGGCCGATCTTGAGACCGCTGGTACCAGTCGTCAGCAAGTCCACCGAGCTCCACATCCCCCTGTTCCACATCAGTCTACCTTTTTTCCAAGTTCGTGTCGTGCCCGTTTAGCCCAATTAATACAACTAAACTGCTTGGGCATGCGGTGGCTTAGCCATACGAGCTACATGGCCCAGCCAACACAGCCTGACCTGCCGGAGGAGCTCACCGATGGGATTTTGTCCAGAACTTTCAAGGATTTGTGAGCTCCTCACACAATCCAGGCAGGCCAGCCGAAATATTTATAACCGGCGAAGATGTTCCATTAGGGGGGGGGGGGTCCACGTTTCGCAAGCATACGGAAAGGAGGGCATGACCGTGGCCGAGAAGACCCATAGCTTAGTGTGGAGCGACAGACCAGGTGGCTTCCACACAGTGTTACGCAACCGATGAAAAGATAATGCCGCTCGACTGATTCGGAGTGATACCTCTGCTGTCAAACCGGAGCTGATCATAAGCACATCGCCCCAAGGGCCTGGGCAAAACAACCTCCTACCTCGGTAGTGCCGGATGGTAACGCTGTGGTGAGCAGTGCAATCGGGAGGACCAATTTCAATTGGCCATTCCTCTCATTGCGTTTGTGGCCACCACAGCGGCCACAGGGAGCTCTGGATGGGTGCCAGGGGTTGGCAACCCCTCCAACTTCAACCGAAGTACCACTATGCTGCGTGAAAACAAAATCTAACTACATACACAAAGGCAACGATACCCCGTATAGCCTAAACAGACTGTTGGGACCAGTGCTGTAAGCGAGCATCTGACGGCCAGAACAATACCCAGCACTACGTCCAGCCGCCTTTGTCTCCCCCAGTGGCGATGTTTACTACACACTGCACCAGGTACTGATTTGAGGCTGAGTTGACCTAGGGGAGGCCCAGGACCCGTTTAGATAATCGTCACTGATGTTGGCCGTGAGCGGGAATCTAACTCGGGTTGCCGGGTTCGTAGAGCAGCGCGCTAACCGCTGCACCACCGCTCCCCCCACATTACATACACACCACCTCTCTCACCCACATACGAACTATAACAATTCAAATTGCTTGGCTTTGTAAGTCAAATCACAAACAGAAACGACGTCTCCTTCCCATATTTGTCTTTCCATACGTGTCTCAGGGGGAGCACATTCAGCAACATTGCTTCAATACAAGCAAACCTCTTGGACCGGTTATTTTTTTTACATTCCGTGTCTCATCAACAGTAAGGATTGCTCGAACCAACAATGGCTGGGTGGCTCAACCGCCAGATGCGGGGAAATGTCACCAACAAAATAAATAAATCCTCTCGCCACTTCGCCATCTGTCTGTAAACCTTTCCCCACGTTCCAACATTGCCTCCCGTTTTGAGTATCCCCGTGTTTCTGTCGCCCTCCAGTGGCTGTCTCACGCCGTAGTTTCTCGTCAATCGTTGTTGTTGTTCAGCTTTGCTTGACACGTGAAGATACATATGACAAGACATTGCCTTGTTGAGAGATATGTGTAGAAGGCACGTCATGGGAATGTGGAATTCACACCACTGGATCAATAGAGATGAGTGTAGTCTCTTGCTATAGTTTTACCATGAGTAGTTATTGGAGTTTTGGGAGGAATAGCGGTGGGTTTGTTTACGCGTATTGTTTGGCCCCGTCATATAAATGTGTAATTTCTACCATGCTGGAGTAGATACGTCGACAATGGTTGTTTTAGTCAGAAGCAGACTTGCTCTTTCCATAGGAATGTGGATTTTCGTTGAGCCAATTTTACTTGTGGCCTGGTCGCTTCTTAAAATGAGCTATAAAGCTCGGCGGGCCTTATCTGGTACAATTAAAACCACATTGCAGTAATAGTAGTATATCCCCTCCCCCCACTACTTTCTCGCTAACGCAGCTTTTGGGGTTTTCCAACAATCCTCAATCTCCTTTTGAACTCCTTTCTTGAGTTATTTACCAAAGGCTTGGTTTCGTGTATTTATAACTTTTTTGTATGTGCTAAGTGTGTTGTCCTTCCCTCGCACTTCCGATGAGCACGGTTGGCTACGTACGGTGTGCAAGAAGTTCAACAAACAAACAAAAACATTTTCCATTATCTGGTGTAGGAATGCCTCTAGCGACTTTATAACTCGGGGCATACTGAGTTGGTCATGTCATGTTTGTGTCATGTCCACCGAGTGTTGCTGAGAGACAGGGGTGGTGAGTTAAGGATGTTACTGGTGGCGTGGGGTGGTGGGTTCAAGTGTGGATGAGCCCACTTCTTCCAAGACATTTGACCAGCGTTGAAAAGTCGGCCAAATACCCTGTATGAGTCTATGGGGGGGGACGGCTCTCTAGACTTTAGAACAGTGGATCACAATTGGGGGTACACGGACCCCTGGTGGTACGAGAGGTGATTAATTAATGTGTGAAATTATATCATACATGAGGGCCATTGGTGAACAATCATGTATGAATTTGCCAATATAAAACAACTACGAAAATTTTGATTTAAAGCTTTCGTGACTGCAGTAATTCATATTCTTAGTGTTGTTTCTCTTCAACGTGACTTTACCGAAAAAACTAAGAATATGAACTACGAAAATGTTTTAATCCATATGGTAACCTAGAACAATATAAAATATCGTTTTAGACTTATTGATTATAAACAATGTGGTTTCCAAGAGTAACCAGCGAGCGAGAACAGATTACGGCACGCGTCCAAAACGTCCGTTGATTTTGTTTTATCCGCTTGAAGTTACCAGTAAGTGAGCATACCT